TCCGATTTTCTCTTACAAAATTTAACTTGTTGGTTTTCAAAAATACTCAGAAATGCGGGAAGTGGTTTCATATCTTCAACCTGATTGGCACAACAATGAAGGGGATTTTTATAGAGGCGAATCATGGTGCATACTCAATCCTGGTACAAGGGTGGAAACCAGAACAAGTATTTCAGTGCTGTTTGAAGCCGGACTTAAACAGATGTTTACTTTCCTTCTGTGGCACAGACTAAAGATTAAGTCTAAGAACAAACTGTTTCAGCCTTTGGTTTTGGTTACCAATTCATGAACCATTTAGTCCTGGAAATTTTTGAAGGTTGTACTCTTGAGTTCCCTAAAAGTGCAGCAACAGAAACTGCACTTCTTCAAAGAACTTTTAAGTTTCATCTCATTGCAAACTAAAGTTCAAATGTTTACCTTCCATTTCTTTTCTGTTTAATATGGTGAAAGACGTTAATCACATCGCGAATTCTTCTTGGGTATTCCTCGATTTTGCAGCAAGGAATATGCTCGCCACTTAACGCCGTCTAATGCAATTTATGGGAAGGGTAATTCAAGAGTTTGACGATTAGCTCGTTGGTTTTATTACTGAATAAAAAGTGACTGAATACACTGTAGGACGAAAAGAATTTGAAGCAAAGTGTTTTGAGGAGAAAATGAAACCATTTAGCAATTTAAACTAAAGAACACATCTTCCACGTGTGAATACGCTCATTAAAAGCTTTTACTTTTGCGAATAATTTGACATCTTTGTGCAACAAAGAAAGAAAATAGTTAAAAAGTTCTACAAAACCTTAACTGGTTAAAAGCCAAAAGGAGGCTCTGTGCCCAAACCTTTAGACCGGAAATGAGGAAAAATGAAAAGTTATAAAAGGTTAAGCTAAATTTCTCGCTTCTTCGATGGACTAATGTTGCAGAGATGTACTTACCCTCAGCATCGTGTTTGCTCGGCGACTTACTGTAGTAAGCGTTGAAACAACTTGCCGCATATACGCTTCTGAAAGGTTCCAAAGCAAACATATTCAATAAACATTCCTAATACAGGAAGAAGTTTTAACAACGAGAAGCCAGAATCAACTTACCTGAGGTTTGAGCAAGATGCCCGCCATTTGAATATACTCGCAACCGACGATTCGCAAATCAATTTCTACTTCCCTATCTAATCCATCTTTAATTGAAGGTGTATTTTCTATGTGTTCTTGGCTTAAAATACAGTTTTCTAAGGAAATTATCACATCTCCGTACTCTGCTTTACCGGCGACTGCTGCCATTTTGGATTTTTGCTAGATCTTCCTTCAAACGTTTCCCGAACGTCACTTTTCGATTATGATGTCATGTACGGAAGAACACGTGCACGATCATTACCTTATTTGGTGTTCGTAGGATAACCGAAGACCGATCTTTTCCCGCCTGTTTCATCGGCAATGGTCGTTAAGTAATCGGAACGAAAATAAAACATGGCGGACGGATCGTGTCCTACAAACAAATCCAAGAATTGACCGTTCATTTTTTAAAGCATGGAGGATGAAGATGAAAAAGATAGTGAAGATGACATCTTGACAGGATTCACTAATTTCGTGGACAATAATTTACAAGTTTTCCAGGGTAAGCCATTTGTGATCAGTCTTCTTACATGCCAGTTGTTTGCAACTGCTGTTTGGATGAACAGCTGTGGAAAGCTTGGAAACCTAATTGGCAGCAAAAGATTTTATGGCAAAAGTAACGTCTTAGGCTCAGAAATCTAGGAACAAGTTCTGTAGGCCTTTTTACAAGTACCATAATACTCTTTCTTGTCCCAAATTTTATAAGCATTGTTTCCAATTAATCTTGGGGTGGTTAAAATAAAATCAAGTCCCAAGTCCAAGAAATTAAAATAAATATTTATCTAAATATTGGAGACAAAAGTATTATGGTATTTTAAAAAAGGCTTACAAAACCACAACAGTAAAACTAGACAACAAAGATCTAGAGCTGGGTCAAGGGGCCAAAATGGTGTACATATGGGGTCCAAATTAAATTTGATTGATACAAATTGCCCAAAAAATGACTAGAATGGACCCAAATCACTTTCCCTATATGAATCTGAATATTTTTAGAATCCTGTTTAATAGGACAAATGGACAAAATATATGTTTCTTTTACTTGTTTATGAGGGCTGGAAGGCAGTATGGGTTTCGGTTTAATCTGGTTTCGATTTATGGTGTACTCGATTTATAGCGAGTTGTTGCCGTCCTGCTAGACACAAATTTCCAAAAATATTGCCTCAGACCCATGTAAGGAAAAACCATGTAAAAATGAATAAGTAATGCAACCCTTCTCGCGATCTGATTTTTGGTGAAAAGCACTGGGAGCGAGCTCGCTTTGGCAGACTTGGCAGACTTGGGACGTCGCCGGAAGACTTGGACTTCTTGAGATCTCGGGAAATGAATGTGTAAGTCTTCAAAAATCCCAGCACTCCCAGGATAAAATCTCTGCGCTTATATCTCAGAAAAAGTTGGTAGGTATACTAACGGTAATGCTTGATATACCAAGTCAATACTGTATATGCCCTATTGTCCTATTCTATTGTGTAAAGTTTATTGTGTTACTGTGTATGCTTGAGATCACTGTTGTGTTCTTTGTCACAACATAACTCAGGACATGCTATTCACTTGATATATTGTGCACCAAAGCGATCTAACACTTCAAAAAGTAGTTTGATTTAGTTCCTGTTTATATTGTGATGTGTTTGTGTCTCGCAGAGTTTGGCTTGATATTAGCAGGAGCAGGAGTTTTGCTCATTGTAAAAGAACGCATGTGGTAAGCATAGTTTTTACGTGAGGTCCTCCAATACAAACACAGAGTGCAAACTGAAAGAAAGTCAGCTTTTACAGGTTGCCATTCAGGCAAGATGTAGCTAAAATGTACTATCCCAAAAGTCATTTTAACCAGCCTGAAAAATTTTTGATGAACATTGGTTACAGTGCATCTTTAGTTTGAATTCCCCAAAAACTTTCACAGAATATTCACTTGCCTGATAGCAAAATCCACTTGTCCCATGTGCTATAGGACACTGCTTTTGCACACGCTGCATGTTGTCGCAATCATGTTGTGTAGTGTGCTTGTCTCAGGCCATGACTTAAATAAAGAGGTATCCTTATATACTTTCTGTATAGGGTGCTTGTCTAAGAGCATGACTTTAATAAAGAATAACGTATTTCATGACTAGACTTCCAGTAACTCCATTGGACCCTAGTTATTGACAACTAGAATCTCGTCAAGTATATTAAACGTGTGTATTCTTGACCTTAGAACATATTACTGATCTTCTGAGTGGCTTTCTGTTACAGTGTGAAAATATATTTTATTTAACAATAATTATTCCATGAGTGTGCGCTGGATATGAGATGGTAGATAGCCAACGAGGTGCATTAAGTATTTAGTTGGCTATAATCATCTTATATCCAACAAATGTGGGTAAATAATTGTTTATTAAAAACGCCCACAAAATCTCAATGAATCTCCCCGACTTTTATTTTGTTAGAACAAACTGAAAAGACAAGGGACTTCCGCTTTTCACATGTCACACGCCTATCAAAACTGTCAACGCATCGAACGGACTGGATGAATGAAAAGTCAGAACACTATAGCAATGGACACTTTTAAAAATTCATTGATTCAATGATCATACACAGCAGGATAGCTAAAAAACTCACAGATAATGAGATCAAAAAGAATTTTGAAGTGCAGCCATCAAAATTACTGTGAATTTGGATATACGATGTATATTTTTTCTGATATTCAGTTTAGCCAGTTCAGAGCAGTGTCAGATGTCCCAACAGAATTTGTTACCAAGAATATATCTTTCCATGGCATTGTTAAGAAGTAAGATCAGATAACACTCTTGGAATCTGTCACATCCCACTGCTTAGAGGATTTAGCAAGGTTCATTCTTCGCCTGATACAGGTAAAATGTTTAATTACGTAAATTGCCTGTGACAAGTGCAGTCCTAATATTCAGTTTCTGGTCAAACTTAGTTCTCTGTCTGCAACCTTTTTTTACCTGCTCCACACTATTCTGTCCAGGGGCTTTATCTCGCCACAAATTTTTGAACTTGAACTTTTTGTGTCTTGCTAAATCACGTGAATGATCAATAAAAAGTGAAATCACTTCCCACCCACTTCCTATTAGATGCACTTTTAATAATTTTCACGAAGCACCCAAGGATTGGTACCCTTCCCTGGCTTGAGTCAGGCTCCAGATCCAAAGTTATGCTTAACCACAATGCTGTCACCCATTAGAATGGAATTTACCACTATTGTGATAGGTACCAGCACTGGTTGCATTTTTTCGTTGGAGAAATCTATTTCCAATTCTTTTTGTCATTATTATTTAATTATTTCAAGGCCATAGCAGTGCAAATAATGGTGGGACCTCAATTTTAACGCCGAAGATCACATTAAGTTTTGTGTGGAATAAGGTTGATTCCACAGCAGGCTTTTTAGCCAGATATTGAAAACTGGTGGTCCAGCAGGCATCGTGTTTTCCCCGTGAAATTATAAGAGATTAGGTGAATTTTCCTTGTATTTTTTGACAAAAATGGTAATCCATAGGACAGCCGGACACCCTTCTGGCTAAAGCTTATTCCATGGCTGATGTAGTAACTGGTTCACAGCTGTATTATCACAAGTTACACAAAGCTTTATTGCAGGCAACTATTAAATTTTTGTCTTATTTCAGCCGATCTCATCCCAGAATAATCTTCTCAATGTTAGTTTACCAGGAGTGGAATTGAGGGAAGGAGGACACCAGTGGTTAACAGACAATGTTAGGTTGGCTAAAGTCCGTATGATACCATTACAAATCACTGCCAACAACACTTTGGACTGCATTCTGTACAAGAGGCAGGTAAATAATATCCAGTCGAACCCCTATGTGTGTCCACCTTACCATTTATCCAAAACACTAAAATTTTCCCAGTCAAATCACAGTTGAACCTCTCATAAAGGATCACCTCTTAAGCGATCAAGACTACTTTTTGGGATGGCGGCGTTAGAATTTTCCTCTGTTTTTATCCTCCTGTAAGCGGCCATTTAATGCATAGTTTATCTCTATGGTCATTCTATGTACTTCACCACAAAGACAAAGCGATGCACTGGTAGTGAAAACATGAAACTAGACATATCATGATCTAGAAATTGCAGGCAACAAATTTTCTTACCAAATATAAATCTATGTGTTCAGTCCTCTTCTGTCAAGGGACCCCCTGTGCTTCAATTCTCATAAGCTTTTAAGTTTTCACATTTTGCAGGGTTGTCATTAAGAGCCGGGGGCCGGGGATTTTCTCTGGCTACTAAGAGAGTGGCCCCCGGCTACTTTTATCGGAAAATAGAAGAAAAATGGAACCAAAAGAAATCCTTAGCCATTTGATTTTCCGCCTACTTGTTGTGTCTACCTGGCAACTTGAAATCTTAGTGACAACCCTGTTTTGGGTATTTGCTTACAAGAGGTTTGATTGTAGTACATGTAGTACAAGGGATGGCAAAGGGTCTGTCGCAGATCTAGGGGAGGGGCACAAAACCCCTTACATTTTAGATCCAAGCCAGCCCTACAGGGCCAATAAAATTGTCATACAGAGTGAACCTCATTTGATATCTCAAGGGCTGGTTCTGCCACCAGTGGTACCTAGAAGATGTGTGACTAGGAAATGTTTGATCCTATGTGAAAGTTTTTAAGCAATAATTCACTAGGTAGTATTAACTCATTAGATATTGTTCAAGGCTGCTGCCAAACGGGTGCCCGGTCCACAGAGATGCCTACGATTTGCCCACGGCCACCAAAATTTTAAATAAGGAGCCCACACGGGCACCTAAAACTTATGATTCTTATGCTAACTTCTAGTGAACGAACGGCAAAATTCGCAGCTTATTAGTGGCCCTTGAATGTTAGCTGACCTTTACTATGCTACTATTTGTGCCCTTATGAGTTGGATAGACAATAAATTTGAATCTTATAGATCAACCGATTAGTGCACCACTTATCGTGTGCTAGAAGTTGACATGTTATTATGAATTTTTTTTTTTGTGAATGGGCTCGTAGAAATGGGGCTCGCGTTCCTAACTTTTTATTGGAGGAGCCCAAAGGGCTCCCAGAAAATTTTCTTAGGCAGCAGCCTTGAGTGTTAAATGTACAATGTTATGCACAATTTCAATGGTCTGTAAGGAAATATACAATGGAAAATTTCCTATCTCATTTCAAAGAAAGTTTCAAATGTCTATTTTTTATGCAAAGTTTCTTGCAAAACTGCCTCTAAGAGACAGAGAAATACACATTGTGCCATCATTATGTCATTTCCATGTCTCTTCTTTCGTAGATCATAGAAATATTTCAATCAATGAGCGTGTAAGAAATGCCTTAGTTATAAAATAAGTATGGGAACAGCAACTACCTAGAACATTGAAAAACTTAATCAATGTTTTCTCCTTTACAGGGTTGGTTTCAATCTAGGTGTGTGAATGAGGAGTTGATACGTCAAGGCGTGGCAGTAACAGTCCATGTGCCCACACTCGCACGTAGTCTACCTTATCACAAATTACAAAGGAGACTTTTGAAAGCAGAATTGCGAGCTGAAAAGAAAGGGGTTGGCATCTGGGTAAAACCATCACTGTTAGAAAGATTACAAAACATGATCTCCTTTCCAGCTCATAGGATGAAGCAGGTGATCTCTGCTGCTCAAAATCTCTCATTCACAAGGATTTGTTCAAGAAAAAAGAAAGACAGCTAAAGGCAATGTTGACAAAAATTATTGCATTTACATCTTCAAGTGCCACATGCACCAAACATAGACATGGGGGAATATTCAATACAATCAATGCTCTATGTGTGGAAGTACCCTGGTCAGATGTTTTTCTCATTCTACACACAAGAACAAGTTATGAAGTAGCAGGGTGGACAAACCTCTGGTTACCTTGGACTAAAATCTGACTCTGTTATCGTGCAGATTTAAGATGACAAACTAAAAATAACATGAGGAAAGGACTGAAAGCTTCAATAGGGCATTTTACAGTTATAGATGGAAATGAGGCTGGAGTCGACCTTGTTTTGAAACATACAGCTGTACCTCTTCCTGCTGCTAACTAGTATTCTGCAAGCATAATTTCTATCAGAAAACAATAATAATTATTATTATTGAAGGAGGTTCATATCCAAGGAAGGTCAACCCCCAGTTACTCTATGGAGAAATTATGTGAGGAGACTAAGGTACTAAGCCCAAAACTGTAAAATTTTTCATGTTCAGATTTTGTTCAGGTGCAGTTTTTGAGAGTGAGTTCAGGGCGTGGAACACACATCAAATCCACTGTTGGTACTACTCGATGTTTTTTGGTTCAGAAATAAATTAATTTGAGGAAACTTAAGATCCTAACAAACTAGCCTTATTCAGCATAGTGATGAACATCTTGAACTGTGACTCATGACAATTCACAAAGGTTTCAGAGAATTCAAGAGAGCACAAGTGTCATAGGTTTAGTGGACACCTTCAATTGTTCAAAAGTTGATTTTCAAAATTATTGTTAAATACGTTTTTAAAAAAATAGCACTAGGCAGACATCCTAAATAAAGAGACTTTATTTGAACAAATTTTAACTTCTTAACCATAAAAAAAAAGAGTCTATAGGATCATAGTCTACTAACTATGATAGGATTGGCTTTAGGTACAGCTGTAACTTACTTTTGAGCGGTACTGTACGTACCCACCAATGATCATGAGGCACATGAAAAATGCTATTTAAAATAGAATGGCATTACCCCCCACAACAACCCCCAAGATAAATGTTATTAAATTATTAGAAAGATAAATTAAGCATTATGTTTGTGACAAACAGCAAAGATGACCAACTGTCCATATCTTCATGTCATTTACTGTGAATGCCAATTAACTGCGAATGCTGTTGGCAACGTGAGAATAAGAGTTTTTACCTTTCTGAAAAACCTTGGGGAAGAAGTGTCCTTGCATTAGTTTTGTAGGAAAAATTTTAGTTATTTTAATAACAATTATTTAAGTTTATTTTATTTTATTTTTTTGCCTGTTTGCCTTGATAAGAAATAAAAGAAATAATTAATGTTTTGCTTTCAAAAAGTTGAGTGGGAACAGGGTGGAGATTACAAAACAGCTATTCGATGAAGTTTCATGATGGTACTTAGAAAACAAATTTCAAGGCCCCTGGAATTCATAAACAGGATTGTCATCAGTTGAAAAATATTTTATTAGAGACCTTTAAATTAAAGGATCGAGGACGACTACTTATACGAGAATTGGCAAAAGTTTTTTCACAGTATTCTCAAAATAAAGACTCCCGGAAAGCTTCATTTTACCATTTTTCACTAGAAGCATTAGCACTGTTACCTTTAGTGAAGGATTGCAAAATGATAAAACTTCTAACATTTGGTAACTTGTTTTCGCCACTTTCACATTCTCGCTAAAACTCATAGTAGAGTGACAATGGCTACCACGTTTTCACCAAAAATGACGCTGGTTCACGCCAAGAGCGCTACTTAATACTGAGAAAATCTCATACGCGTTGTCGTACTCGTCTCTGAGTCTACAGGTCTCTGTTGTATTATCACCCATTTATGCATGTGTGAAAATGAAGTTTCCTATGTGGACTTGCCTATTATTTAATTTTAGACTTAAATAATCTGCCCCTAGTTGTTCAAAAGCTGGATAGCACTACAGTCAACTCTCTCTCTAAGACGGACACCTTTGGGACCGGCACTAAGTGTCCGTCTTAGAGAGGTGTCCATATTATAGAGAGTCAAATAAAGGGAGTAAAGAAAGGCAGGGACCAACTCTCAGTGTCCGTTTTACAGAGGTGTCCGTCTTATAGAGGTGTCCATTAAGAGAGAGTCGACTGTATACATTGGACAAATCACTATTGAGCGGATAAGTGTTAGGGAAGGCAATTGCACTATCCACTGGATAGAGATTTATCCGGTGGATAGTGCTATACCTTTGAACAACTGTGGCCTGATGTATAGAATAGATTGAAAGATAGAAATAAAGGTTGATTTCTAACTAGTATAAAAATTATATCAATTGATTATTGATAATAAATTAATAATAACTAATTTATATTAAACACCTTTTTTAAATTAATAAAATAATGATTACACTAACTTTTTTACTTTGTTGCATGAAATTTTTGGCAACTTTCACCACCTTTACAGCAAAATGCCAGTACATGTACGATAACTCCCAAAAAATTACTTCTCATACAATCAATCTCTAATGGCTATGAGCAAAATGTTTACTTCCTAGGTGATAATTTCTTTTGCTTAATTATTTAAAGTTTAAGTGCTCCAATAACGAGCAGGCTTTGCACGTTGACTATTTTCAAATCCCCCATAATACAGTACACTCTATCTGCCCAGTCCTTAATATCCACATACAAATCCTCCAAACTGGTCTCTATCCATTTCCATGATTATAGAATAAGTTGAGAGAATTTGATAAAAGATCAAAGAATTTTCCCTTAGGTGATTATTTGTAGTTGTTTAATCTCACAACCTTTTCTCTTGATTGTGTATTGATATTGTTTGGAGAAAATAAGACTGTCCCTTGTTATTCTCTAAGATTGTCGAGATCAAGCAGTTATAAGCCCCGATGCCAGTACTCTTGTGACATATTAAACCAAGATGGCTGCCTTTAAAGCAGAAACAAAAGAAGAGGGGACTATGAACGTCTAGGAGAAAATTAACATTTTTCAGTTCACTCTTGGGGATAATAAATTATTGTTTTTGAATGGAAATAATTTTATGCAGTCCAACAGTTTATGAAAAATTTGAGGGCAAACAAATTGTACATGCCTTATATGGCAGGGACGGCAGAGCGCAATTTCAACCGGGGAGCTCAAAACTTGCACGGGAGATGCAAGTTTGTTGGGGGCCCTGACTTCTTCGGCTCGAAATGGTATTTTCAACATTCTCAATGAGATATTTCTCTGCAAAAACTCAACCTGGATAAGGTGTTAAACAAAAACATTTTTCCTCTAGAAAAGTTGCCCTTCACCCCACCAACCCCCCAAGGCTCTGCCGTCCCTGCATGGGAATGGACAATAGAGAATGGCATATACTCAGGGGTACCCAACGACTGTTTTCTGTAAAATATCTGTTCGGAGAAGCAAATATTGCCTAGAATTTTCTATTACTTGAGGATGGCTAAAAATTTCTAGAGGACCATTCCATTCGTGTACAATTCTATTTTATTTTTGCTTATCTAATAAATGCCCTACGATTTTCTTCAGTTTATTTTGTCACATTTCACTGCCCTGGTTAGGCAACTTTCCGTAGAAAAAAGGAAATCTGCGGATTCAAAAATTATATGATGGAGAGAGGAAACATTGGAAAAATTCTCACTTTCACTTTCACCGAAGGCCTTTCGTAATTTCAAAAAGACCCAAGTTCCCCTAGGATGAGCAAACGTATACAAATTTTACAGCGCCACTTAGAATGCAATTCTAGAGCTCTAAAAGTACTCTGGATAGCCTGCTTAAAAAGTGTTTTCAATCTATTTAGGAGGAAACCGTCATTGGGTGCCCCTGATATACTGTCACTAATAAAAGAAATTCAGCCACAAATTGAAGACCTACCTCAAAGAACACATAAAAAATCATATCAATTTTCATAAATTCTGATTGTTTTGCCCAGGCCTCGGTTGTTCAAAAGATAGTTGGATAAGAGTGCTATCTCCCAGATAAATCTTTTTCCAGTGGACAGAGTCGATAAGTTTATACAGAAACCAAAAACATCCAATTACCTAGCTAGAGGATAGAAATTCCAGTGGATAGCATCCACCTTAACGAACAACTGGAACCTGGCAAAACTGGATACAGTCAAACTGTCCTCTGTTGGTCTCAAAGATACCAAACTTTATAATCTTGTATAATTCCTACCTCTTAACTAATAATGACACCTTTACAATTTATACCTACAGTCAAGCCAGGTCAAGTGACCCTCAATATTCCATGAATGAATTTACTATTCAAACATTGAATCCTTTGGTAGCTGTAGATTTCAGATTCATCTCTGTATTGTTGCATGCGTAGCCGACATGAATTCACAGGCAAGGCAGTCACGAAATTTCTCCCATCTCAGTTTCCCTGCATTTGATGTAAACATCTTCTAAGAAATTCGATCCATTCAAAGATTTTCAATCTGACCAAATACAGAGAAGTTCTCGTAAAATATAAACTGCGCATTACGCATGCAGGAATGCCAATTTGAATTTGACCTTAGTTAGAGGAACGACTAACGGATTCATTTTTCAAATAATCAATTCATTAATAGAATCTTGGGGGGTACGCTTGACCTGCCTTAACTTGTTTTAAAAGTGCAAGAAAATTATGTCTTTAGTCTGGTGTCCATGCTACAGGTCAAAATTAATTTGAATAAAATCCAGGTTTAATCAAAATTAACCTGAAATCAAATTTGACCCTGTTTATTGGAGGAAAAATCTGCCCCAGCTGGGCAGGTCACCCTTATAGGCGACCTAACTTTTGTTTCTTGTGTAAACCATAAGAAAATGTATGAAAAGTTGGTTAACCCACCCAAGGTAACATTTGCCCACATATTCAGGGCCTAACAAATTACCAGCATATTCTTCATTATATCGGCCAACATTGTTTTGAATATTGACACCTTCATACTTCTACTTTACAATGAGAATAAAAATCAGTAATAAACCCAGCCTCGAACACAGCTATTGATCGAGGATTATTAAATAATATAATATTAATATTCCACTGTAGAATACCAGAAAGCAAAGCTCCATACTCCCCATCCTCATCCCTCTAGAAAGTCCATTTTCACCTAGTACTATTGTCTGCCCCCTCCCTCCTCCCTCCCCCCCTGCCACAACCAGTTACAATGGTGAAGGGCATGACCTTTTTGACTCATGATTGGTCCTATTTTTTTCTTGTGAAATGTTCATGGCTTACTTTTTTCTCCATAAATTGTGATTTCCATGGTGGCTGCGAAGCGTGTTGGTGCAAAATGGGAAATAAAACAAATGTTTAATTCACCATGAACCGTACTTTTTGTTATGTCTGTTATTTTCATGCAGAATTTAAAAAGGAGTGTTTTATTTCCTGTGAAATGGGATTGAGACCGGCCACTCTTAACCACTCTCTAGGGTCGGTATGGTTGATACCCAATCACACAATATCATGTTCCTTATCTGCTTTTGCCTTTTCCTTGAAGAGTTTCTGCTGATTCTTTGCCTTTTGGTAAAGGAAGACACCACATGTGACCATGATGGTACCGACAGCACCAAGGACACTGACTTCATTACCAAACACCAGCACTGACAGCCAAATCAGAACTGCCCTCTTCACTGTATTGGATACACTAAAACAACAAAAATACTAATCTTGAGAAAACAGTCAACAATTTGTGGCATCACTAGCGCTGGTTTCCTCATGAAATGACATCTGAGCGTGAGGAACGAGCAGAGAAATTCCATAGTGATCACGCATATCATCACTACCCAGATCTGGGTAGTATTTCAGACACTGTGGTTGAAACAAATTTTCAATCTATCAGAAGCCCGGGGGGGGCTGGGTACTGCCATGTATGGGCTATATAGGTATGTGCCGCTGTGAAGGGTATGGTTTTCAAGCAGTTTACTCTAGGATAGGGTATATAAATCAGAGCGTTTGGGTCTAGAATAGGGTATCATTTTTCAGGAAAATGATCAGTTGGTTGAAGGTTTTTTTCTAGATAATTAGGGATTGCGCTATAAGGTTTTGTTTCAGCTAGACTACTGTGCTAGTGACCTCAGTAGTTTCTGGAAAACAGCTACTCTAGGATCGGGGGGATTTGGGGAGTGTACTCTAGTATAGGTTAAGGGTTCCAGGGTCCCAGCGGCACATCCCCACCCAGAAATTCCTAAAGTACCCCCAAATCAGAAGCAGCCTCATCAGTATGAAATTTCTGTGCACACTCCTCAGACATCAATTTTGCGAGGGACCCATTGGTGGCATATTGCAAAATGTCAGCTGCTTTCTTGGGCTTCAAAATTACAAATACTCAGATGCTGATAAGATTATTATAATAATTATTATAAATTGGGGTCCAAGAAGAAAGGGCCTAAGTGATGCTCATTTTCATGTAACATTTTCCACAGCTTTTAAAAAAATAGCAGGGAAAAGCCTGATAACTGCATCATCACAGTCAAATTCCCAATGAAATCTATGTATTTCATGAAGGTGGCTTTCAAACTTCAGAGTTCACAAGTTTTTGAAAAGCACAGTAAATAAGGGGACCAAACTATCTAGTATTAACCCTTCAAGCCCTAATATCCACTTACAAATTCTCCAGACTTTTTTATCTCTATACATTTCCTTAAAGAATTAGCTGGGAGAACTTGATAAAAGATCAAAGAGTTTTCTCTTTGTGATCATTTTATTAATTCGCATAGACTTTACTCTTGACAATCTATGGATATCGTTAGGAGAAAACTGATGTTGGTCACTATTTAAAGGGTTTATAACACCTTAAACATCTACACTAATAGCCATGGCCACCTTAAATTTCCACCATTGTGGTGTTGTCATTACAATAATGACAGCCTGTATAATAAAGCCATTTTCTGGTGACCGTTGGGAATACTGTCATTATTATGACAAAAAGCCTTGCTTTGTAAACTATTTATGATAACTGGTGGAAAGTAATTTATAAAGCCATACCTGAATGTAACTGGTGATATCAGTGACATGAGTCCAAAGGCTGTAAGGCTTTGCATGTAGAACATGAATCCATTTAATAAAAAAATAAATATTAAAAATCTGTCCTCTGTCAACTTCACTTCACTGGGCCACTCCTTGAACAAAATTAAACAAAAAAAAGATAAATGTTTACAACTAACAATGCAGTCTAACCTAACTAAGTCCAATGTTAAATTTTATTGCCTTTGATTTGAATTTCGACCAACACAATGATTTCTTAGACTGCAATAATAATTATTATTAAAGTAGTGTCTTATTTTCCTTTGCAAATTCTCCATGCAAAACCCTCAGACATGCACATGAGTGCAACAAACAAGTGCATAATCCCAAGAAGAAAAAATAAGAGACTGTTGACTCTTTCACTCTGTCTGGGGACACCAAAGCTTTCAAGATAATTTCATTAACCAATTAACCTGGGTAACAGACCAGTCAATGATCTGTCACCAGCTCTAAAATTGACCAATCAGCTACTCAATTTTTGGGCTGACAGTGGGTTTGTTTGCTACAGAAGAGTCCACAGTCTGTCTTTTTTCAACTTATCCTATTAAATCTCTTATTGTAACGTCCGATGATTGTTTGCAATCACAGTGAGTAAAATAAGAGCTGAGAGCAATTAGCTGGACTGCAAGCAGTCTAATGTATACCTGCCAACTCTCACGCCTTAGGAGTGAGTCTCACGCCTAAGGGTTGAAAACTTCGATCTCATGCCGGCTCACGCTTGCGGGCCAATTTCTCATGCCTGATTGAAAAATGTGAGTTGTTGCCATCTTGCTTGACACAATTTCCAAAAATATGTTAACTCAGACCCATGTAAGGAGCGAAAACCATGTGTAAAATGAATAAATGACAATACCTTCCTCGCGATCTCTGATTTTGTGGATAAGCGTTTTCTCGATAACTTCGCCTTCGGCAGACTTCGGACGTCTTCGGAAGACTTCAGACTTCTTCAGAAGACTTCGGACTTCTTCGGGATATCTTCGGAAATGATCGTGTCGTCTTCCAAAATCCCAGAGCTCCAAGGATAAAAATCTCACGCTTATATCTCAGAAAAAGTTGGCAGGTATACTAATGATAAATCTAAATTAAAACTCACAATGAAATCTACCCTTTTCAAGGCCAATAACATGGCTGCTTTCACACTAGAGACGGATATCCATCTTCAAAATCCAGAAAAATTGATGGATGAACAGATGGATAAAGTAAGGCAGATTGTTCATCAAAAATTAAAATCGTTCCATTTTCAGATAATTAAAGTTGTGTTATCTGTCTGGTGCGAATTATCCAACGGATAACCCTTCTCAGACGGATAATTCATCTCTAGTGTGATAACGGCCAATAATTTTGTGCCTTTGAACTAAAATCTTGATTGGCTACATAACCAGCTTGTTTACACGTGTTTGGTTAGCAGGATTTCTAAACTGCTTTCTTTCATAAATATTACTGTTACTATATAATTGAGCAAAACCTAACCATAAAGAACCAGAAAGGTAGTTGAACAGCAATTGCAGCAGCACTTGTATAGAACTGAAGTTCTGGGGGACTGAAAAAGAAAACTGTGAATTAACTAATGTTAAGCGTATAAATAATTCAGCTTAATTGTAAATCCTCTATTAAGTCCCACCCACCTCTCTAATAAGCCCTTAATTCCTTTTAGTACTGTGATCAAGTCATGTCTTCTCTTTAAAGTCACCATAAGCCAATCATGACTCACAATTTAATAGCGCCGATTAACTTTCTCAAAACTCAGTTCAGTCACACAACAAACAGCAGCACTTCAAACACGAGTTTTTGCACTCATCACATGATAACTTATGAAAGCTGTTTTACAGGAAAAATCAACACATATTCATGCGAGGCTACAATGAAGGAATACGTTATCTCTGTTTTTACACTCACTCTCGCCCTTTCGTATTTGACCAGTGTCCTCACTCATGACCAATGGAAAAAATATAGATGTTTTTGAAGCTGTCAAGTTTAAGACTTGACTGCTTGCTGTTTTAGAAGGGAAAAAGCTGATCATGATCAACATTATGAGCAAGCCTGTGTGCAGATATCTCCTAGCTATTTCCTTTGTTGCACCTGAATGCATGCAGCTTAAAGGTAATATATAGCAAACATCTGCTTGCAGACTATCAAATGAGTTCTTACCTATAAGGATGCTCACTACTTAGAAGCTTCTTGGAAAATACATTCTGAAAACTACCAAACAATAATACTAATTTTATTATTACTACAACTAATAATATAATCATTTAATAATCATTATTAATTAAAATCAAAACAATTCTACTTTTCTGATAGGCTTATATCGCCTGGGAGAAGTGACAGCGTGGCTGAGTAGTCAGTACACTGGAATCGCAATCCTGTGTTCAAGTCTAACTTCGAAAACAACATGTAAATGTATTTGTCCCTCAGCAGTCCAGAGTTTAATTCCTTGCTCACTGATAATGTAACACAAAAACTGGCGACACTGTGAGTAACCACCAGCCTTCTTCGAAATGTTGTTGTTGTTGTTGTTCATAACTTTCTTTTAACCCTCACTATATATTATAGAGAGTACAGGAGAGAGTAAAAGGAAATCTTTTAAAGTGAGTTAATTATCAGTCTCAACCTCATTCCCAGGGTTCTCTCCTACCCGCCACCCTGGGACAAGGTTGAGAAAACAGCTGACATTTCACTATGTCAGGTTTCCCCACAAAATGATACCAGAACGCAGAAATCCCACCTATATGACATGTCACTATCTGATTGAATGGTCGTGGGAAATTGGCTTCAGGCAATAAGATGCACTCCCCAGATCTGCGTAGTGACACACCAGCAGTTGAAATTTCTGCGGTCATTTCTTGGATGTTATTTCACAAGGAAACCACCAGTAATGTTGGCTGTTTTCTTAGGTGAGTATTCAAGTTGTATGTTTGGGACACTTCTAAGGACCTTTCAGTTTAATAGCTAGGTAACGGCAGAAATAAGCTAGCTAGGCATCACTCACCAGTCCATAACATTATTTAAAAGAGCTGAAATAAATCCAACCATGTTGAAACTTAGTTCTGTAGCTGTACAAAGTGAGAGCCCAGCCATTATGGGAATGAGTGAAAGATTTACTAATAAAGTTGATTTATCTCCTGCAAAATAACAAAAGCAAAATTGTTTGGTACATAATAAGTATCATTATCAATAAATTATAGGGACTTTAACATCACTTGGGTTCTATCACCCTCGAAAGCAATATTATTCCTTACACATCCACTTATACTTTATCAAATGTAGGCGAACACTCCTGAAGTTGAATTCCAAGCAAAAACAGCAAAGAAATGTACAAAAAAGTGTCATGCATGAGCAAAGTTATTGTTTCGCTTATTAAACCTGTTGTTTTTTTTTTTAGTTCTTGCTGCCTTCACATTGTTGGATCTTTAAGTCCCTAATATCTATTAATCCTAAACCCCTAGACCATGTTATGGTGAAGTGATTTAATTGACAATCCTAACTTAAAAGTCTGTGAACAAAATCCTATAATGGTGTTACGAATCAAATGAATCCTCCTCAGCAGTACTTTCACATGGTACTATTTATTTAGTATGTAGTTCTAACTTTTGAGTCTGTGGATGAAATCCTTTACTGTTACCATTCAAATGAAACCCCTTCAGCAATACTTTTACATGGTACTGTTTATTTAGTATGTATAGTTCTAACTTTTGCGTCTGCAGATGAAATCCTATGGTGTTACCATTCATTAATGAAACCCCTTCAGCAATACTTTCACATGGTCTATTTATTTCTTCATATTTTACAAAAGGAAACTTGATTTTTTTTCTTTGGAATCTGCAGCGAACTTTAACTGGGCTGAGGACAAATTCAGCTAGTCAGGCCAGAACGAGATTTAAAAATATTATTATAACAAACAATGATAGCCAAAATCTCCTTTTAAGCCAGCAGTCAATAAAAGTTGGGTTAATTAAATTTATTATGTTCATTTCATTTAACAAAATAATAAAATTAAAATTAAGAAATAACTATTTTTCACTGACCTAGCATTATCCAAGCAATAATTGCAGTGAATATTGGTGCTGAAGATTTCACCGTTTCAGAGAATGAAACAGCAACATACTTGAGAGTAATGAGAGAGCAAACAATTGTTGCAAATCTTAAGGGAAACAGCAAAAATGTTATCATTATAAGATAAAAATATACTTGGAAAACTCAAATTCCTCACTGACTTGAACTGAATTTCCTTTCCCTTTTAAATGAAAACTTCACTGAAATTTATACCCAACTCAATTTCTCTGCTTATACACGTAACTCGAACTGTTTTTCGTTTCCCTTCAGAGTTCAAGTTACTGTCGTTCTACTGTATTAATGTTTATTATGCCACAAGCACCCATGTAGAAAAAAAGAAAAAAATTAGTCATTTGAACACATGACCTGTTAGAGAGTTTGTTCAAGAGTTTAATCTTGTCCAACACTCATAAGTCACAATCAACAATTCTCTCTTTCTCTTCCTCATTAATTTTATTTATTAAAGCTTAAATTCAACTATCTTTCGGAGTTGCTAGAAATATAACACAAACGTTACGTCCTCTTAAGGATAAATTTAAAGAAAAAGAAGATACAGGGTCACTAGCAATATACAAGAAACTGATTAAGCAATAGACTACACTTTCTATGGGTTTACCGGTGTGATAGCACACGCAGGATGTTGGTAGAACACGAGAAAAGCTTGTAAATTACGAGCCAAAGGCGAGTGATTTACAAGCTATTCGAGTGTTCTCCCAACATCCCGCGTGTGCTATCACGCCGGTAAACCCATAGAAAGTGTGGTCTATTGCTTTTATAAAATAATTTTAAGTTTTCTATGAGTTTACCGGCACAATAAACCATAGGTTTTTGGCCAATCAGAGCGCGCGTATTATCTTAGTTATTTCATAAATTACTATAGGTCGTGAGCATGCAGTGACTATCGTTTGTTGAAACTGTTTTCATAACCCCTCTCTGCTCAATCCCGCCTAGCACAAGTTGCAAGCTTCAAGTGGGGTTCGGGACCGGCTCCCTCAGGAAATTTTTTGGATTTTGACTCTTTGAAGTCCCATTTTTTAGGTCTCCAAGTCATTAAGACAGGGTATTGGTCAGAGCCCAACTTGGAAAGTGTTTTTTATTATTCCAAATATATTTATCATGAAAAATCTGACCAATTTCTGGTGAAAACCAGCGTGGATTTCCCGCTGAGATGATGTCTGAGAAATGGGTGCAAAAACTTTTATACATACTATCAATGACTATTGTTTTCATTTGAAACTGTTTTCATCACCTGTCTCCACCCAATCACCCTTTGGACACTTCTACCTTCGCTCTGGTCTCGCCTGAGAGAATGGCCAACATTTTGCAACACCACCGCTGGTTTCCTTGCGAGATGATGTCTGAGAAATGAGCTCAAAAATTTTTATTCTGTTAACATGTCACTACGGATCCAGGTAGTACTTTTGATTGGATGAACCAAATTTTCAGCCGCTTAGAATTCACTACCCAGATCTGGGTAAGTGTTGCATCATCAGTATGGAATTTCTGCACTTGTTTCTCAAATGTCTGATTTTACGAGGAACCGGGGATTCCATCTCAAAATTTTGGCTGTCTTCTCAGGCTACTCTGTTGGCAAGATATCCTATTAAATCAATATCAACTTATTGCAAGTTTCACAGCATATATCAGGGTTCTCAAAAGTAGCCGGCTGCCTGCGAAGATTGCCACCTACTTGGTTAGAATCGACCAGCTACTCTGCTTGGCATTTCTTTACAGATGGCATTTTTTTAAATAAAATATCCCTGGACTGGATGAATACTTTGGCAACTCAGCCTGATCTACTTCAAAACTTTCTGACAACCCTGATATATAAATTATATTATATTATCAATGGTGCTTCTAAGAAATAAAAGATGTTCAATCATTACCTCATCCAGCCTAGAATCGCCATGTTACGAAAGAAATGAAACTTATGTCCATCTTGATGATGGCCAGAGGTTCGATGAAACAAGCAACAAGGGAGGTACATCTTGAGAGCCCCAAAAATAACAGAACAGATCATCTGTGTCTCTCCAAGGATGCCAGCATCACCGTCTAATGTCGACAAAATGTACTTGTTTGATATAATAGATCCAAAACTGAAGACAAACCATAGTGACATCATAACAGACTGCCCAACAAATTTCTCCTTTATTTCAAAGGTAAACGTTTTGTGTTGCCCGGGTGATGAAGGTGTTTGTGCACCGCCTTCATGAGTTTTTGGAACAATTGGCGCCATTTTTAAATCCAGACTGAATGAGAACAGCACCCCTAGGTTAATGGAACAACACTCTCACAAATCTTGACAGTATTGCAAATATTCCCATTGCTGGTAACTTGATTTGTGAAGATTATTGCACTGCACTAAAAAAAGAAAGAAATGCAAAATTGATGAGAGACATTAAACATTTACTATAACAGAGGAATTGCGCTTAAAATTGGAAAAAAAGTTAACTAATCCTCGTGTAATTTTCTATTTGTGAATGTGATTGAATCTTTATAAAGAGACAAAATCTACGATTTACAGTTGATGATTTGGCTGTTTGTTCAAAAATTAGGGAATGTGTGTCCGGTTAACATGACTGGTGAGTGAAGTTTTTGGTCGGTCAAGTCGCCATATTTCTGGAAAAAGATTGTCTATTGACCGACTGTTATTTTGAGCTTGAGTTCACAATAAAACTCTTTCAAACAAATGATGGACACGACCACAGTAAAAACTACAATGACAACGGATCTAAAACATATTTGAAACAATCAAAAATTACAATAAAATATTAGAAACTACAAAAAGATTCTAAACAAAAAAATCTGTACAGTCTAATGTATTCTCTGACTGTGATTACAAAGAATTAAAAATCAAGTTACAAATACTGAAATTCTAACCAAAGATAGAATACTTTCAAGAGGTTAGGGAAAGGGACTTCATAGAAATTCTACAAAATTTTCTGACTGCCGCACATTTAGTTTTTTTTTTTGAGACCCTTCCAGCCTGTCAGGCATATAGCCACAGCATTTTTTATACTTACATATAACCCTAGCAGTAAAAACTAAAATTAAAACAACTTAGGGAGCTGTCGTCCTCGCCCCCCACCCCGCCCCCACATATATTGACCGTATCAAAATGGCAGAAAAGGGTGACTTAGTTAGTGAGCTTTAAAGAGTCAAGCTACGCTTTATACTTTTAGCTTAGACAAAGAATAGTCATATAAAACTTGATAGATCTTTACAAAAATAAAAGTCCTACAAAAAAGTATGCCCCATGGCCAAAGAAAATAGTCCAGAGTTACAATAAGCTTACAAAAAAATTATTTATTAACGAGTTCACATTAACTGAGATAAATTACACTATTAGCTCCTGTAAAAGCACTTACCACCGGTAGCTAAGAAAAAGAACTTCACAAATACAAATAAGATACACCTAAAATTTAATGGAAACATATTTTTCTAGTCTTATAACGTGAAGTTCATTGCAATCGTTGACGTTCCTACAGATAAGACTTATTTTGACGAAGATCAGATAACAATGAACACCACAAACCTCTAAGAGAACGGCGCCATGCAGATGAGAAATTCCTTTGAACTACGTTGCGCCATCAAGAGTTCAGTGCATTGCTGTGAAGAGTAAATAGTGAAAGGCTAGCTACTTTATTTTGCGATTTATTGAGATATCCACATTTCCTTTGCAAAATAAGTATCAACTATTCAATCTTGCGCTGATATTGGGAGGAATGACGAGGCTGAGCCCGTAGTTATCAGATCAGCGGAGTAAGTCTCAGTTGTCTAGGTCAAATATGTGACACAAAGTGTATTTTGAATAGGAGACGCACGCCTGCGCAATGCAGACACTCAACGACGAAAACACGTTGAAGAGCAGTTGAGAAGTGGTCGAAGAAGTTGGGAAGGGTGGCGGGAGGAGAAGAGAGCGAGAGTGAATTAGCTGCCTTAATTTCTTTGAAATAACACCACATTGAAGCGTCGGGCTGGTAAGTGGAAATAGAAGGCTTGTACTGAGTTTAAAACTGCTGTAAACGCAAAGTGGAGCCAGCGTCTTTTCACAGAAAAAGATTTTTTCTTGAGGATTGGTCATTGCAATCGACACCTCGCTGAAGTGCGAACAGCTGTGAAGGAGTTGGGACAGTTTCGATTCGAGAGCTTGGTGAACGCTGGCTGAAGAAGAAAAAGATTTGGCTAATTGTCAACAATATATTTCTGCGTGTTTTCACGACGCGAGTCTTGAATTGAGTGAAACGTGCATTTTATGCGAGCAATCTTGAGAGGATAGGTGAAGCTCTCATTTACATACGGTGAACTTGATATGAATATTTTATAAGCAAAACATCCTTACAGATAGCGAAGTTGAGATGGCCTCAAAACAAAGCGAACACCAAAGCCCCGTCAAGAAGAGATTCACTAGCCCCCTTGGAAATCAGAAATACGTCACGAAGAATATTTCTCCGCGCTTCAAAGCAAATTTGAAAGATTTTCGTTCTTTTGGTCCGGGAAAACAGAGCAAGCAAAGAGACCTGGGACCCACCCATGGGAAACCTTGGAGAAAACCCCAGGAGAGAGGGTGCAGGGCAAAAGCTGTCAGGTTTCACTGTGGAGGAAATAGTGAAGATCCACTGAATTTGAATAGTCTGATAGATCGCGACCCGTCTGTTGTCACACCACAAGCATCTCCTTTATCCGTGCACAGTGCATCCCCAGTTGAAGTTGTGGAACCACGAGATCAAACTGATCCTCTAAATCTCAAGCGCTTTCCACCAGACCCAGAGAAGAAGGAATCGCATTCAACACCTAAGAAGCGTAAAAAGAAGAAGCGACATCCAAAAAATCATAATTCTGAAAATGAGGTTAAGCCAAAAGAGCAATCAGGTGTTACTAATCAGCCTGTTGGTATGACTTCTGAAGGCAAGAAGAAGAGGAAAAGAAAGAATCCTACAAGCGAAGATGCTTCCCTTACAAAAAATGAGAAAGATACATGTATAAGTAACTCCGATCAAAAAGGTGTCAAGTCATCAGATGGTAAAGATGACTTGATCAATGAAGAAGAACTTGAACCATGCCCCAAGAAGAAAGTGCGTACTGCTTCGGAGACAATAGAAGATTTGAAAACTGAAGACAGCCAAAATAACAAAATGGAGGCTTCGTCTTCAGTAGCCGAAGATAAAAAAATCTTAGACACAAAAAGAGACACTGTCTCGCACAAAGAAAAACTTTTTAAGAAAGGCAAAGATCACTCGGCAGGAAAAAAAGGAAAGAAGGAAAAACTTTTCATTTATGGTAACTATAACAGGTATTATGGTTATAGAAACCCACAGGCCACCCAAGACTTGCGACTGAAGTGTTTTAGGAAAGAGTGGTTTGCTGGAAAAGATGTACTGGACTTGGGATGTAATGTGGGTCATGTGACTCTGACAATAGCTCGTGACTTTAGTCCACATGTCATTATGGGAATTGACATTGACACCAGTTTAATAAAGGCAGCAAAGAATAATATACGGTATTATGTGAAAGGTCGTGTTGCCGAGCCTGGGACTTCTGGAGGTGAAATGGATTTTCCCATATCATTTTCTGTCACCAGTGGACCTCTTGCTGCTCCTGTTGTTTTGGGGTCTGGTGAAAGTGTTACCTTTCCACACAATGTCATATTCAAGCAGGTAAAATTGATACAAAAAATATCATAAATATAGAAAGACATAGACACAGACATAGACAGATTAATTATCCATGAATCAGGGCTAGGAGACAAAGAAAATTGAGAATCAACCTAGGTTAAAAAATTTTAACCGGAATTTAATTTTGACCTGTGACACATCCATATATTTATCTGCTCCCACTTAATTATTAATCTACCTTGTGGTGCTAAAATTTTTGCGGATTGGCGATTTTTTGTGTACTTTTGCAGGAACTAATTTTTGCAATTAGGACAGATTGGTTTTTCTTGCTGGTAATTAATTTTTGCGATTTTCAGAAAGTACCCAGTACCTAACATTGACAATATTTTCATTTTTGTAAATTAGATGTAATAGAAATGCATATTTTCAAACAGTACTATCTATGTAAAACCAGTAATTCATTGTATACTGTTTTGGTTCCGAATGAAAGAGGCGAGTTGTAATTGAACAGACACAATTTCTTAGTACTGTATTTTTGTGTGGCTAATTTAAGTTAGAGAGTATTTACTCTGGAGTAAATTTTTGCGGGAGCTTATTTTTGCCAAATTACTGGAAAAATCGCAAAACTTTGAACCTGCCAAAATTTTGTGCCACATGGTATATTCAGTTTTCATTTAGTTAGTTAGAATCTTTTTCAAAAAAAATTACAATGACAAGTACCTAATGCTCTATTTATACTATGGAAATGCTTAGGAAAACTATGTTCCAAACAGCAGTGAGGTACTTTCCAAGCAGAAGCCAATGTATGACATGATTTTATGTCTGAGTCTCACTAAATGGGTTCATCTGAACTGGGGAGATGAAGGACTGAAGCTCATGTTCAAGAGAATTTTTCTGAACCTGCGTCCTGGAGGAAGGCTCATTCTTGAACCTCAGCCATTCTCTTCTTACAAGAAGAAGAAGAATTTAACAGTAAGTGCATTGATTTTTTGCATATTATCTCTCTTTAAAATGAGTGGATCGTATAGTTGGTCACTGATGATTCCTTTTTGCACTTGGGTGTCGAGGAATCCCCCCATCCCAACCAACATGTTACCTTTATCCTATAATCCCAACAGTTCTTAACCCTTTAAGCTGCAGTATCCATAAACAAATTCTCCAAACTGATCTCCATACATTTCCTTAAAGAATGAGTTGAGAGAATTTGATAAAAGATCAAGGCATTTTTACTTGGGTGATTGTTTTATTAATTCTCATAACTTATCTGTTGACAATATATGGATATTGTTGGGAGAAAATTGATCTTGGTTGCTATTGGGACTCAAAGGGTTAACAGCTAATCCCAATCCCTGGGATAAATTTTTTTGTGTTATAATGTCAGCAAAATTATAACGGTTTGTTGGGAAAAAATGGCTTGACTGCAAGTCATGTGGTGTCATCTGGTTCTGTTAACACTTTTGGGCTCAAGTTGAAGACTTTACTTTTTAAACATGCATTTGTGAGTAGATTTTTTATTGTTTATATTCCTATAATCCTGCAGGTTAAACCAGTTATTTTCATAATTTTTTAATGTCAAGACTGCTGCCATTTGCAACTGTTAATAGACAACTTTACTTTTAACCCTTTAAGTCCCAATAGTGACCAACATCACTTTTCTCCTAATGATATTCATAGATTGTCAAGAGATTAGGTTATGAGAATTAATAAAATGATCACTTAAGGGAAAATGCTTTGATCTTTTATCAAATTCTCTAAACTCATTCGTTAAGGAAATAATAGAGATCAGTTGGGAGAAATTGTATGTGGATATTGGGACTTAAAGGGTTAATGTGCATCATAGATTTCTTTTGTATTGTTTCATTTCTTGTGATTGTCAAAGAAGAAAAAGTTTTATGTTCAGAGCAGTATTGGCTATTTGAGAGAATAGAGCACTCTGCCATTATTTTATTTCTTCTAACAACTATTTCCTTTTTTCCACAGGAAAAGATCCGCTCCAATTATGATGCTATTAAGTTCCGCCCAGAGCACTTTATTGATTACCTTCTGTCAGACTCAGTTGGATTTGCTACTTTTGAAGTTTTGGAGACTCCACAACACAAAGCAACTGGTAATTAACCCATGGAACCTTAACCCACTGTGTTTGCAACACATTAATTATGCACCTATCAATGTAATGCCGGCAGGGGGGGAGGCAGGGCATGGGGTGGGGATTTGACTTTTTTCAAAAATTTGCAATCAAATTCCCTGCCCACGGGCAAATCATTCCAGTCAATTGCAACCAAATTTCCCCACCCCAGGCTGCACATTGCTGCCAATCCCAAGGCAGAACCCAAGAAAGGCACAATAAAAATATCTCCAAGTAAAACTCTGCAATCTTTTATAAATGTTGCTGCATCACCAAAGCTACATGTTCCTGTTACAGCTGCAATTATACGTTTTAACCATAATCTATGTTACACTGCATAGAATACATAAACCTTTAGGAGAAAGTCCACATTTTGTAAGTTTAAATATACCTTTCTTAGTAAAGGGTACAAAGAAAGTCAGTTTTATAAGCCTACAGTGATTGTAGCGAATGAGCCATACGCTAATCAATTGTAATTGCAAAAATCAACTTGGTTTCTCTTTACTTCCGTTTACTTTGATACCACAGAATTTTAAGAGGTTCAACTGATCAAAAACGCGCTAAAACAAACGAAATTTGAAGACAAAATTCAGCTTTCACTTGTTCTCATTGGCCTCCATGACTTCCTGATCTTTTCAAACCGTACGGCGCATGCGTGAAGCGTGGAAGTGGGAAACATATGTTCGGTCTCATTCTTTTTCGTCTGAGTCGGCAGTCAAGTATCTCCACGTCAGGCGAAGAAAGATTCAAAATATCCCCTCCCTTGGGAGAACAAGATCAGTCAAATGTCCTACCCCAGGGCCAACAAAGACAATCAAATCCCCACCTCATGCCCTGCCTTCCCCCCCGCCGGCTTTACATTGATACATTGATAGGTGCATTATAGTACCAATACAGTCGAACCTCCTGTATGCGACTGCCCAAAATGTGAAAATTTAGTGGTTGCTTATGGGAGGTGGTTGGTTACAAGAATCAAACCACAGGGTGTCTCTTCTGAGAAGAGGTCCCTAGACATCTACCGATACTTTTTTTTAGTAGATAATGGTATAGGTGTAGTTCCATGTTGTCACTGAAATTTCTTCATATACTCTAGTGGCATCGTACATACAACAAAGAGACCACACCATGGGTCAAGTGGCCACTTACGAGAGGTTAAAAACAGTGGAGAACTATAAAACCATCGGGCCAAAATGGGGTCATGGCTGCTTGTGTTCGTTTACAAGAGGTTCTGATTATAGGGATTTGACTGGGAAAATTTTGGTGTTTTGGATAGTTGGTGGTTGCTTACAAGAGGTGGTGGTATACGGAGGTTTGTGTTTTTCGAAGAAATTATGTTCTTATGATTTGGAGGAAGAAAAATTCTAAGACCAGAAAGCTCAGAAAAAATTCCGAGCTCCAGTTGAGAATGAAACTCATAATCCTTGAGTTCTAGTTCAGACGTCCTAACCACTGAGCTTCTGGAGGCCCTATGGCCAGCAGGGTCAAAATTTAATTATAACTTCACCAGTCATAGAGGACTGACATCTGTGTTTGACTGAATGTGAGCAGTAATATCACAGTCAAACCTCTTTTGCATGGCTCCCCATAGGAAAGGGAAAAGTGGTCATTTGAATGATAGAGGGTTCTGTTTCAAGAGATTCACTGACAATTCTCTGACAGTACTGTGGTAACTGGTAGCTTAATAGAGGGTCACTGCTTAACCCTGCAATAGGGATCATAATACGTTTCTGGGAGACTGCCCACCTACCCCTCCCCTAAGCCATCATTAACACCTACTTCTCACCTAGGACAAAATGTTGGCTTAGGGGAGGGGTAGGTGGGCACTTTCCCAGAAATGTATAGTGATCCCAATAGACTAGCATCCTTTAAGGAATAGCAATACACCTAAAACTTGGTGTTTTACACAACTAAATTGGGATTTAAACTTCAGGGGTATTGGCCTCATTGGCACAAAACACACCTTGACCTTTTTTGCTTGAGCCTAGAAACCTGGGTTATTAAAATCTGTTTCTTTTTTCTATTTCTTCAGGTTTTCAACGTCCTCTCTATCTCCTTACCAAGTCTCCTCAAGACCATGAAGTATCGTTGGAGGAATTTTACTAGTATGAAAGTATCAAGACTATAGAGTTTAAGCAAACATGACAACGAGCGCATGACAAGCAGGGCACGTGCACAAACAAACAACGCCTCTGCATGCGATTTTTACACTTACAGAAAATTTCTCTAGCAATCTATGCAAACACCAATAACAACAAATGAACTAATTAACAGGTTTCATGGAGAATATGAATAACGTAAAAGTTAAGTGTGAACTAGAAAACTTCTAAGATTATTTGCTTGAAAGTCATAAACAAATCAGAATTAAAAGTAACTCAAAAGAAATGGATGTACTTTTTGAAAAAAAAATGTACTTAAATTGAGTGTCAATGTATTTAGTACGAAAGTACTAATTGGGGACACTATATTAACGTCTCCTACTGGAGACGAGACCGCCATTTTACGTGGTCATCCGAGTCACGCGAAGGTCTAGCCGCTTGCAATGCAAAGGGAGTACCTTCAAAGTTACACAACGGTGCTGTAGGTTATGTTGGAAGCTCCCTGACCGTGCACAATCCTTTGTTTTTTGTTCACAAATTGTGACTGAATAAATTAATGCGATGTTTCTATTGGTCAGTAAGTTCAAAATAATAGGAATGGTATTGAACGTTGTGCACGGTCAGGTCCAAAAAGCAAACAATAACATAACAAAGGAGTCTTACGGGTTTCATAACCATTCCACTTAAATAACTATGGTCAGAAAGAGCACATTGAGGTTATGAAAACTCTAAAGTTTGATGTTGATCGGGCCAATATTGAACAAGATACACCTATTTATAAACTTGAAAATTTATAAGAGATATATGGATTACCGGACGTCTATATATTTCTTAGTATTGAATGGTTGTATCTCTTTCAATATAGGCCCAATAAACACCAAACTTGAGAATGTTGTTAATTTCAATGTGCTCTTTCTGACTATATGGATCTGGTGTTGTTTATCCCATAATAAACCTAGTCGCACCCTGCCCCTCTCGATTTAAGACTACGCATTGGAAATGACATCAAAGCGTTGAAAACTCAAGTGGAACATCGAGCCTTGAATAATGAGAGGCTTTCACTTGTAACGACGAAACTTCCGATAAAAAATAACGAATTGTAGCCCTTATTTTACTGCCTTACAATATATCAATAACCTTGAAACTAAAAGGTCAAATAATTATAAAAGAAAGGTTAATCTCAAGAATCTAACATTTTTTAAAAAAATCTATCGAGCGGTTTGAAAATTATTCGCTAATTTGTTAATGAAGACCGAGATGTTTACAAAACCGCTAAGAAGAACGCTTCGATACATACTAATCAAACCCTTCTTTCTAGCAATCGGCCGGAACTATCTCCATGACCTTTCACAAACGTTTTTTAAAAGATTGAAACTACTATGAGGTGAAATTCCACGTCAAAAGCGCTTCGTTTTCTACAGATAACGGTCAAACATCAAGATTGTCCATTTTTTACTGTGTTTCTAACCATAAAAACTTAATCCCAAAATATCTCGATAACGCTCTTACAGATTTCGCTTAAACTTCACGAACATCGAGGCGTCTATTGGAGGAAAAAGCTCCCGTGAACGATTTTGGAAGAACAGTCCATGGCTGCCACTGCCCGCGTGATATGGCTGTGCGCATGTGTGAGGTAATGACCAGGTCGTGGGTTGGTGTATGAGTGCCACTTGCTATAAGTTTGCACTGTTTTCAATGCAGTCGAATTAAGTTCAATCTATTTTTCATCATTTAATGTATTTCATGACATTTCTAAACAAATTCAACAGCGCGCGCGTATAGCTGGTATGGGTAAAATCTTTGCTCGTTGGCACTTAGGGCGGATAGCTGTAACTGGTTATTATTTTTTTGGCTTCTTTGCTTTTCTGGTTCGAGAGGGAAAACAGAAAACAAACAAAAAAACAGATTACTTGCTGGTAACTCGTGATCCACCTTCCCCGCGCATGTTGTGGTAGAACTGCTGTGCGGTTCCCAGCCAACAGCTCCCACATGTGTTGTGTGGAGCTGGCGCTTGATAGACTGCTTTGGCAAAAAGATGTTGTACAGACGCGGGTTTTCCCCGTTCATTAACCCACCGGCTTTACCACACTGGTAGGCCCCAATAGACCCTTTGCAGCAAGCCATTCACGTGGTACAAAATCGCCATGCTGGAGAGCAAAAGTCACACTGCAACAAGACAAAAAAAGGCATACATAATTTGAAATGGTAATTTGCGTTGTTTGTCTCGTCCCAATGCGACTTTTGCTCTCCAGCACGGCGGTTTTGTACCACGTGAATGGCTAACTGCAAAGGGCCTAAAGGACGAAACAGCTGTCTGTGGCTGCCTTTGCCCGCGTTATATAGATGTGCGCATGCATGAGGTACCGGCCCGGCCGTGGGTTGGTGTATGTGTGCATCTTGCTATAAGTTTGCACTGTTTTCAATGCAATCGAATTAAGTTCAATCTATTTTTGATCATTTAGTGTATTTCATGACATTTCTAAACAAATTCAACAGCGCGCGCGTATAGCTGGTATAGGTAAAATCTTTGCTCGTTGGCACTTAGGGCGGATAGCTGTAACTGGTTATTATTATTTTTTTGGCTTCTTTGCTTTTCTGGTTCGAGAGGGAAAACAGAAAACAAACAAAAAAACAGATTACAGAGACAAAGAGAGAGGGCATGATCACAGGCTAGTAAACTAGTTAATTCGCAAACGCGCTGTTACACATGGGCCGAACGTATGTGATGAATGAAATACTTGCCTTTCCTACTCGTCTTCCTTACACCTCAACAAAAACAGAAGCTAGGCTTGTTAGGTGCTACAATTTTCCTTCTGAAATTCGCTGAAATATGATGTCGTCAAAACTTTATTTATATGAATTTAAAATGCCACCCCGAACCACCGCTTTTCACCTCACCACTGATTAAAATAGTGCGGGCTCATAAATGCGGAAGTAGCAAGCAACGAAACATGGCCAACGCCAGCACCCCGAGAGAAACATTACTGACATTAAGCGTATTGGAGGAAGTGATAGAACTGCTCCAGGGAAATGGAGGAGAATTAGAACTCGGGGGTCTAGTACGGCAACTCAGTTCACACAACCGTCGTTTGGTGTCAGATTTAGGAGCGCTGGATTTCGTGAAACGATTTCCGCAGCTTTTTAGTCAGGCTAAGACAGGGAAGTCCAAATCGAAAGTGATGGTTAAGTTAGATATCCCGCTAGAGTTTTGTACTCAAGCTGGAGAGAAGGGCGGATGTGTTGCAAAAGGATGTAGTGATCTTCATTTATGTCCTTTCTTTATCAAGGGAACCTGCAAATTCGGATTTAAGTGCAAAAGATCTCACAATTATGGTGACGAACATACGGTTGGTGTTCTAAATCACTTCCGCCTCGGTTTCTTAACAGAGCAAGCTTCATTTTCCCTTTTACAAAAGATTTTCAAAATGATCGTTGATGAAAGTGAGCTACAACGAACTGCTGCCAAACGATCTGTTCCAGACATATGCAAATTCTATAACAAAGCGATCTGCAAGAAAGCGGACAATTGTCCTTGCTTGCACGTGTGTGAACATTTCATTGATGGAGATTGTAAGTTTGGGGAAGGCTGTAAAAGGGAGCATGATTTCTCTGACCCTCACAACCGAAAAGTGCTTGAAGAATATGACTTGAATGGAATCAGTGAGCTGAAAGTGCTTCAGCGCTTGAAAGGCAGGGAAAGAAAGCGTGCTGTCAGTGAAAGCTCTGATGTTGAAAAGCCTGATAAAGTATTTCCCAGAGCAGTAACTCCTGTTGTCCCGGTTCCTACTTCCAAAGCAAAGGATGAAAAGGAAAAGGACACTGAAATTTGTGGATTTAATCTGCGCGGTAAGTGTAACTATGGCAACAACTGCATCCATCAACACACAGAGCTACCTTATTTGTGGGAATTTTCTGTACATGGCGAAAAGTGGGAAAGCTTTTCAAGTGATCTAAATACAATGTTAGAGCAAACCTACTGTGATGTTAAAAAAGGCAGCTGTACAGTAATGATCAGAGGAATTCTTCATCGAGTAAAGTTTGATGGTATGACTGCTGAACCAGTTTTACCAGGTGATGGTAAGTATCTCCTATCTGATAGTTACAAACAATATTATGTTTGACAGCTGAGGGAAACTGCCATATATGGGCTATACAGGCTTGTGCAGCTGCTGCACGTGGGGTATAGCTTTCTTAAAGTTGTTTAAGGCTGGGGTATGGCAAGACTATCATTAACAGGCAGGGATCGGGATTTCCCCAGGCTACCATTAACATGGCCCCTGGCTATCAAAAGGAATCCCTAGCTGACTGATTCCCTTTGTATTTACCCAGCAACTTGAAATCTTGGTAACATCCCTTATATAGCATATAGAAATTAGAGAGTTTGGGGTATCAATATTCTGGAAAACTGATGATAAAAATAGTCTAGACAAAGGAAACTATGAATTGGTACTAAAAATTAAATTGGCAAATTTAAATTTACCTGCAACTCAGTAAGCTTTGTTTTTACTGAACTGGGCTGGTGTCCTCAGTAGTGTCTGGAAGATAGTGACTTGTGGAAGTTTGGTCTAGTATAGGGTTTCAAAATCAGCTAAACTGTTCCTAAAGTACCCCAGCCGGGGTTTGAAACACGTACATAGTGTGTTATAAAGACAAAATCTGACGTACAAAGTGGGCTCTAGAGTTTACATACACTGAGAAATAAGGAAGAGAGATTTTTTAAAGTACAGTATTAAACTAGTATAAGTAGTAGCAGTAGTAGTTACTAGCAGCAGCAGCACATAAAAGAAGTTGTAGTAATATTAGTAACAAGGTAGTGAAAAAATATGTTTAGCCACTGCAACTTAAAAGTGAATGCTAAGAAGAGCTCTGAGGGAACAGAGTGTCGCCCTATGTAGGGGAATCCAAGACAGTCTTGGGTTCAAGATTCCACAGAGTGGATTCTGGATTCCAGGTACTGGATTCCAGTCTTTGTCAGTAGAACTTGGATTCTAGGTTCCAATCATTAGTGGGATTCTGGATTCCTTGGGCTGTATTCCGCATTCCAACACCAGGGATTCTGGATTCCATGGGCAAAATTTTCCCAGATTCTGGGTTCCCTCACATGGGGTGAAGAGGGATTTACAGAACAAGAAATAGTGAAGATGTATTATTCCTTGCTCTTGTCAGCTGTGAATTACAAGTCTCCCAAGATTCGACGACTGTCTACTGTATCATCTGTGGTTGCCGCAGCAGGCCACGTGTACAGTACTAGGTGGCATTGGTACTGGCAGGATGAAAATAACAAGTGGCAGTCATACGACACTCCAACTGATGGACACGAAGTTAACACCACTAGCAGCCAATGTCTTGAGAGGGAATACACAGCAGGTAAGAAATTCCCCTCTCCTGTAATTTTCTTATTAAAATCAGTTCGTTATGTCTCATATAGATTTCAAACCTTTTGTCCTACTTGGGGATAATTTTAGCAGGCCATGCCACAGATAACGGATGAATGTTTGATTTCAGATCACACTCAAACACATCCACAGCTGAGGTACAATAAAAAATGTATACCTTACTAACGCTAGTTTTCTTGTGGAAGTTCCACAAAAAAATCAACAGTCCTTTCTGAAACAAAGTTTGCCTAACCCCAATGAAAAAACTCCTGTATTTGTCCCTGCATCTCTAATTGGCAACAAAAAACAGTTTATTTATTTCTTCCTTTTACAATCTTTAATGTATGTTTTTCCTTAAGAAAAGGAAGGTCAAGAGAACAATTTTTTGGAAATTTATTTCACCTTTTCTTCTTCGTAGATAAGGATTGTCATTCCTTTAGTGCCTCTCATCACCATTACACTCTGTACTTCAAGGGATGGTACCAACAAAATGATGTTCATAAAACCAAAAGGCCTGTTAGAAGGAGGCCTGCTGAGTTTGTGACCAAACAGAATATGAAAGATATTGCTCAGAGGTACTGTATACTAAAGCTGAAAAACTAGGACTGTTTATTGATACCATACTGTTTTAAGCTTTTGCCCCTGTAAGGTAATCAGGCCCGGGGGGGGGGGCGGGATCAGGCCTAGCCGTTCGGGTAGTGGAGTATGGCGCGAAGTAAGAGAGTGGGGAAGAATAGGGAAGCTCTTTTTTTCTACTCACATCTCGTTGCGCTTTCCTCACGATCTGGACACCTGGAACAGGCTAACAAAGGCTTGTAAATTTTCACTCCTTTGCGGAGCTATATCTTTCCACACTTAAGCAATCTGGGATCTCCTTGGGAATCTATTCGGTTGTTCTCTGTGTTCTTCCGACCGGTCGCACGCGGTGCATTTTCCTCTGAAACGAAGCTAGTGTTGGTCCAGTTGGCGCTCTTTGCTGGCACTCTTACTTCATCTCGAATTCATTTTTTTTTCAAAAGCGATATCACAAGCCCACGCTGACATCCGTGATGTGAACTTGACGTGCTGAAATTTCAATGACAAGTTAATTCTTGGAGGGCGGATCGGCGGCATCAAAGGCGTCTCCAGGCTCCGCCACCCTTTCCCCTCCCCAGATTACCTCCTAGCTCGCTTCGATCGCCGATTTATTTTTTTTTCCTTATTCCTTTCATGCGGAGCCTGGTCCCAGGCCAACGCTTAAGACTTATCACCCTCAAACTTGACGAGTTCACTAATTTTAAGACGTTCTTTCTAGTGTTGTCGGGGGATTCTCCCTAACTTGTCCAGCACTCAGATTTGTTCATGCTTGTTCCCGGGACAGACAGCCACGCGAATGACTTCGCAAACGCTAAAAGCCATGCAAGGGAGAAACGTCTGCTTGCAGGGTACGGTCGTAACCTTGCTACGATCACTACCACTGCGTCGCAATCGCTATAGCCTCGCTGCGATCCCAATCACCGCGTCGCTATGGCTAGCATTAAGGGAAATGTAATTAAGCAAAAGAGTAGAACGACATTGTTTTCACACTTTAACAGTTGCTTAACTTTAGTACTCCCCTGGTCATTTATTTAATCAGACGTAGAGCAACTGCCTTGGCCAGTCCAAAATCAAGTTCAGCGCCATCAGAACTTGATGGTTTACCATCTCACTGGCGTCCGCTCTCTGATGGTGAAGACTTTTCATGTGTAAAACTGGAAACTATATCTGATGAATACAAGAGGACAGAAAAGAAATTTCAGGATACCATGGAAGGGCATCACATGATTTTCAAGATAGAGCGAGTGCAGAACCCAGAAGTATGGACACGATACACCCAGTATGTGGTTTTAATGTCATTCCTTCCACTGAAAAATCTGTTCATCCTTTTCCGCAATAGAGAAGAATAGTGATGACGTCACGAAAACTAAATTTGTGAAATTATCAGATTGGTTGGCATATCCAGACAGATGAAAAATGTGGCCCTTGCTAAAAATCAGCCTGTTGAAGGAGATATAAGCAACTTTATCCTCTTATGACTTCATATAATTCTTCTTAAATAGACCTGGATTGTTAACGTTGCGATCCAAGCCAATACAACGAAAAAAGCTATGGTTTCTGTAAATTCTTCAAATTGCCAACTCTGCATCTTTGGCTTAAATTCCCCGAAACAAGCAGGTTATCATTAACAGTTTTCCTTTATGTTTTCCCAAAGACTTTGACGGTTATTTCCTCCTGCGCATGTCAGGAATTCCTTGAATGGTAACTTTCTCATATTACGACAAGCTCGTCAACCTATTTGAGGTCGTCGTCAGAGAGAATGGGTGTGGTATTGCGACAAAATTATTTACGCATTCTCCTCAAATGGGATAACGTAAGAGAACAAAACATTCCATTCCACATCCCTCCCCTCTCCCCTCCATTCACATTTGGGGTGTTCGTTGTTTTCTACCCGTCGCCCGAACAGTGGAACAACATTGCATGGAACTGGTAAGGGGAAATGAAAGTCAGCGTCAATTAATTTGGTCGCCGTGCCGATTGTAAACGGCTCCAGCAAAGTAAAATTTCGTAGGGTTTTAGTGACCCTCATCTGATATGGCATGAATTTTGCGTCATTTCAAGCTCTGCAGGTGTAAAACACGAGTAACTAACCATCTGATATCTACAACGGGGAGAAAACAGTATCTTTTAACAGTATCTGAACAACACTGGAAAGTCAGTGTCAATTAATTTGGTCCCCGTTTGTAGCTCAGATAGTGACCCTACTGGGTTGGGAGAAAATGCCGGATCTGAAACCTTAATTGCGTTTTGTGCTAATTAAAAGTTGCCTAGTCCCTGCATGGCGCCTTCCCAGGCCTTCTTGGTCAATGCATTTCCGTGACGTATCCGAAACGAAAGGCTGGAAAACTCAAAAACTCGCAGTAATGAGGCTTGGGGACTAGGCAAAGTTAAAAGTAAGACATAACCCTTGTTTTCCTTTTTAGGGAAAAAGGTCGCATGGCCAAAAAGGCTGGCAAAGAACCTGAAGAAAGGCAGCTGTTCCACGGAACGAAATCCGACACCGTCGACGCCATCTGCCAGCAGGGTTTTGACTGGCGAATGTGTGGCAAGCACGGCACAAAGTATGGAAAGGGAAGTTATTTCGCTTGCAAGGCCAACTATTCCCATTGCTACACTTCTAGTCAGGTTACATCTAGGAGTTACAAACAAATGTTCTTAGCTAGAGTATTGGTAGGTTCTTACACCAAAGGTGATAGCGCACTGACTCGTCCACCAGCCAAAGACCCTTCTACTCCTCTCGTTTTGTTTGACTCCTGCTGTGATAACAAAACCAATCCCTCCTTGTTTGTTGTTTTTGAAAATGGCCAGTCGTACCCAGAGTTTTTAATCACTTATATGTAAGTTGCCACTGATATTTAGAAATCCCCTGGCAACACCCCCCTCCCCCCCGCCTAGACCGATTCTTTGTTAATATTTCAGCTGCAATATCTTGACATTTTTGCATTCTCCTGGGATATCTTTTATGAAAAGCGACTGTGAAATCAACTTGAGAGCCTGCTCGTCGGCTATGACTTTAAAGTAGCGTTGTACCGTATATAACACTTATACGGATACTGGGTCCCAATAAGTTTTTCGGGATGCGGGATTTTAAAGCAAAACCGGGGCGAGATTCGGGATTGAAAGTATTCACGGGAGGTTGGATACCACAAATAATAAAAAAGAACCGTTAACTCTAACTCTCCGGGGCTCGCACCATCTCCCATTTCCCTTGGATTTCACCCCACGTTTCAGTCATTTATACTCGGTCAACTAGTACTCCTCGCCAACTCGAACTAAATTTCCTTTGCCTTGATCAAAATTTCACTGAAATTTGCCCCGATAACTCGAATTCTGGTTCTTGTAACTCCACTCGGATGCCATTTCATTAGCTCTTCTTGTTGTATAATCAGTAAAACCACTAATACCAACACTATAACAATTTGATTTTGATTGGTGCAACGAACAGATCACGTTTTATCACAAAAAGCATAATGACGTCACCGGTTGTGATCAAATAAGTTAAAATTTGCAATGTACTATACACTGAAGTGCTGAAATATCAGTGACTATTTATTTGGCGGTTGTCGATCAAGGTTGATTATAAGTTTTGCGGAGAGAACTGTAAAAATTGGCATTTTTTATTTGCTTATAGGAATAGGAGAAATTTTATATAATAGATACAAAGAACAGCGCGCATGTTTTATAGGAATAGGAGAAATTTTATATAATAGATACAAAGAACAGCGCGCATGTTTTCAATTTTTTCCTTATAATTGTAGAGTTTCAGGACCCTTTTGGGGATTAAAAAGTTTAACAGTGTTATAAAAAAGACAAGGTTTTAAAAGAGGTTGAAAACCTCTCTAAATAATTTATTTCTGTTATTTTTAACAATGTATTTAATTTTTCACTCATCTGTTATTTACGAAAATAACTGGGCGTAACTGATTTTTAAGTAGGATAGAATGACTCATCTCATTAGAACATTGATGAGGCAGTGCGGGTACATTCCAATGATCGGATTCCAGAATCATAACAATATAATAAGCAGAACGTTTTGCAAATCTCTTCGATCGCAAATTTGTGGGCCATTGGAGTGATACATCCATCATAATTTTTAATTTCCACCAGATTTCTGGATTTTACCATGCAATGAATGCGAAAACAAGTGATTTTAGAGTTAAAGCCATTTAATCTGGGTGTATGTAAAACACGGAACCTACCCGGAACCTACCGGAACCTGCCGGAATCAACCGGAACCTACCGGAACCTGCCGGAATCACCCGGAACCGACCCGGAATCCCCCGGAAACCAAAATAATAAAAATAAAATAAAATAAAGATAAGAAATAAAATAAACACAAGTAACAAAGTAAGAATAAAACGCTATAGAAATGATAAAAATAAATAGTTTTCACTTCAAAATGACGGTAACAGAACGGCACGTGACTAAGGGAGTTACGAGCTAATCAGGAAACAGGCGCAGAAAAGAAGAGGAAAGCGCGGGTTCATTAACTTTTCGTGGAATTGCATTAAAAAAGAACAACCAAAAAGCGCAAATGATAAAATTAAAAAAATAACAAATAACAAAAAATAATACAAATCAAATAAAAATAATGAAAATGAAATAAATATACTAAATATAGGTAGCTTCCACCTTAAAAATAGTCTGAAAGCTACAATTTTTATTATTTTATTTCGTTTTATTTATTTTAATCTGATTTGTATTATTTTTATTGTTTATTTGGTTCCCGTCCTCTTGTTAAATCAGCCTAATACTTGAACAGGTCGGCACGTGACTAACGGAATGCCAAAGACCAAAGTACAAAGTATTGTTTTACGACTCGAAACCACGTGCGCTGTGGAAGTCAGCGACAGTTTGGCTGTAATCAAACGGCTATATGAGCTTATCATTGTAATTCCTTTTCATTAAATCCCCCAATCATTGATTACAATCACTATAGTAATAAATTTAAGAGATTAACTTTGTAAAATTGAGGAGGTTTAGGCTCCGGCGACTGTTTTGAAAGAAACTTAACAGCCATTTTGCAAGCTGCTCTCCATATTTTTAATTGTGATATTTGAAAATGACTGTTAAAAGCTCTTTTTTAGTTGGCAATTTTACTTTTGTGGGAAATTGTAATGGTTATGATTAATTGGTAACAGGACATCGTGTCATCCAATTCAATCTGTAACCATACTCCTGATTAACAAATCGGACTCCCGTTTCGCGGTCGTCCCATTTGTTAATTACTCATATGACTAGTAGTAATCATAGATCAATAAGTGCGTTCGAGTTTTCTTAGCTCTTCCCTGCTAGCAGAGGTCTCTCACGACGAGGCAAAAGCTCGGCGTGAGAGACCTCTGTTAGCAGGGAATCTTAGCTCCAGATTAGCTTTTGTGTCGTCAAGCATGATTTCAAAATCATGGAAGAGATCATGAATTAAAAGGTAGACATTCTTTTCGTAAAAAATGTTCTTCGCGTATACGGCTTCAAAATATCTCACTCATTAACTCTCTACTCTTAAAATGTCTTACTCTCCCTCAAGCATGGTCGATAAAAATGTTAAGTAGATCGTAAAAAGTTCTTTGTTGTTAAAAAGATAAACATGTCACTACAAACTTCGAAAAAATGGTAGCCTTGAAGGTTAAAAGTCTTGGCTTCTTGCGTGACACAACTTGAAGTGAAAACAATGATCATAGGAGCGACGGAAACATATTAGGTTTCTGCTAGATTACTGATGTCAGAGAACCGGACAGAATCTTTTGCCATTGTGCAAACTTTTCATCTCATGATTATTTTAAGTTCATGTAGGTCAGTTCAACATGTTTTAAACTTAGCTTGCTTCAGCGAGCGAGATACTTATCATGCAAAATTATCCGCGTAGAGATATCAGACGTGAATAAAGCAATACAGTTGTAACAACCTGCACTGATACGCTCAAAGCTTACTTTTTCGTGCATGAAAGAGGTTAAACTACAAATAAGTAAATAGACTCAAACGCACGGGTAAACTTCTCACGGCACAAATGTTACCTGGTCTTTATTTGTGTGTTTCTACGAAGTTCCAGCTCGATTTGAACGGCATTGACCGAAAAGTTTAGCAGAATCATCAGCTCAGTGATAAAACCCGCTTAGAAAACAACTCCAACGTTCATTCTTTTGCCGAACTCAAATATTCCCGTGTAATGTAGTTGACCTTGATGGAACCAGTGATGCACGTGATTGCCATATGACAATTGCTTATGACGTAAATAAAGCTTGAACCACGAGGCAGAATGCTTTGCGCAACGAAATTGTCACGTCATTCAAAATGGCGCCGAAAAGGTGAACCATGGAACGAAAAAACACGGGTCAGCTTTCGCTTGCGTGCACAGGCAACCTACGCGATAACAGGCAACCCAGGAGATTAGGAAGCGTTCTTCCTTCGTCGAACGCAATTACAGACCGAATTGGACTTCACTCAGTACGATTACCATCATAAAGAAAGGTACCTGTCAACGACCGTTGTTTTGTCTTACTCGCATGTAATCGACGTCGTTGTGTTTCCTTCAAGTACTCATTACGTAACTATCTACCCTTGGTTTAGTGGTATTTCCTACACCCATCACTCTGTTTTGAAAGGTGTTTTGTTGCGTTCTTAGGCTTTGTTTAGGGTAATATCGAGCCCTTAGCGTTAGGTTAATCGTGTCTTCCGTCAACAGGAACGACGTTTGTAATCATGTTCTGTTTGTTAGTTTATCAGGGTCTTGACGATGTTGAATAATGGTAATCAAGACAATAATCTTGGTAAATGAGGTTGAATCAGTCAGCCGTTAATGTCCGTTGCTTGTGTTAGATCAATAGATAAATTAATACAAACGTTCCGGCTTCTACGAATATTTTTAAGCTCCAGCCATTTTATGCATTATGTATATGGGAGGGCAGTTGTTACCCGCCAACCAAAGCAAGCCAAACAGCAGTTATTGTCACAAACAGTGAAGTCATATGTTCTCGTATCTTTTCACTTGAATAAACCAATTCCTGTGTGACTTCGTTTAGTTCTGGTTGTTCTTTTTTAATGCAATTCCACGAAAAGTTAATGAACCCGCGCTTTCCTCTTCTTTTCTGCGCCGGTTTCCTGATTAGCTCGTAACTCCCTTAGTCACGTGCCGTTCTGTTACCGTTATTTTGAAGTGAAAACTATTTGTTTTTATCATTTCTATAGCGTTTTATTCTTACTTCGTTACTTGTGTTTATTTTATTTCTTATCTTTATTTTATTTTATTTTTATTATTTTGGTTTCCGGGGGATTCCGGGTCGGTTCCGGGTGATTCCGGCAGGTTCCGGTAGGTTCCGGTTGATTCCGGCAGGTTCCGGTAGGTTCCGGGTAGGTTCCGTGTTTTACATACACCCATTTAATCTTATTCTGGAATATGGTCAATCGAACGTGCTATTTGACCAAGTTTCATTTGGCATATCCTTGTTGCTAGCTCCGGACGCCACTTTCCGGTTCTTGTTCACTAACACGAATCTGTACGAGTTCTCGAAATATGGTTACGTCGATAACTTTTCGTTCTTGTACGCTACGAGGAACACAGCAATCTTGCAACGTTACTAGTTCTTCGAAACGTCCACTGCTAAAGTGTCTTCCGGAATGCTATTTTTTTCGCGTAAAGGTATGCCATCCAGTACTTTTGATGTTTGTCTAGACTAAAAACAAATATTAGTAGTATAGAGCGCATCGAATTGTCCATTGTTGGTCCATTTTTTGGTTGCGAGCTTTCTTTTCTTCCTGCATTTATTATCCACTGAAATAATTAAACTTTGCTTCATTCATTTTTAGAACGTAAATAATGCAACTTAGTGTGGGTTTAAGCAAGCTATATAATAAACAGTTTTGTGACATCCGGAATAGTCAAGGTCGAGATAAGGCCGAGGTTGATAACACTTACCGAGACCTTGATTAATTAGGATATCACAAAAAACCGAATCTGATAATCGTTTTATTATACATTGTTCCGAAGAAAATAACGACATACACACCGTACCAAGGAACCTGAACTGATACTGTTATTGGAAATCATTTACTGCGCGCGCAACTTACAGATGAGTCAGTTATCTGCTAGCAGATAATTAACTTATCTGTAGGCTGCGCTGATTTCCAAAATTAGCTGTAGGCTGATAGCCAATGAGAACACAGATAGCCATTACAATGTATAACAACATTAAATATTCACTGTCTAAGACTCCTATTTGAGAATAAGATTATTCGGTGCGTCCTAAACTGTTATTGTTCTTACAAACACATGGAATAAAGCATGTGTTAAAATCAGAATAAAGGTAATTATCAGCCTTTAAAAAAAACAAGAACAAAGGAAAGAAAAGAACAAGAAACGAAACAAAACCACATCGACATGGTAAAGCCAAGTGTATAAAACAATAGCTTTCCATTACAGTGGTAAAAAAAAACCTTAAGGGCATATTAAAATAAGAGCGTCACTTTTTTAGATTTTTAAACAATACAATATAACCTTGATTTGTAATTACTAAGGGGCTTTCCAGGTGTCCCATAAACCTGGCAGTTATTGTAGTTTTACAGGCAAACTTAGGACGTTACGATCCGACAAGGGCGATGCCAATAAAACGTCGCATCTTTAAAACGTTTTCGTAGCCGTTGCTGTCGTTGTTGCTTAAGGATTTTCAGATCAATATAAGATTGTATGGATCTTTCCACTAATCCCTCCCTTCACTCAGAATTTTTCCCTAAGCGACATTTTCGCTTAGTTGAAGGGTAGGTGACGGTTTCTGCTCAGAATGTTGCATTGGTCCTGATTTTCTTAACCGCTTGCCTTAACTGAATACATCTTTAGTTTATGTCCTAACATTTATCCTTCAAAATTATATTTATTTTGAAGAGTAAACGTTAGAGCATAGACTAAGGATGTGCGCACTGTCAAAACGTTTCAAAAACTTTTTACTATAACTCTTTTTATGACTATGAGATACATAATAGTTTCAGTCAGTACTCAGCCATTTGTTTAATGGTTTAGGATTCTTAGCTGTAACAGTTAAAAAATAGCGTGGAATGAAATAAAATAATGATTTAGTTGTAAGACGTGTCATTAGTGGTCCTTAGTGGTTCTGCGTTCACCATATGATATGAGTGTGAAAATGCTTGTTTCCTGGGTAGAGAGGCCACAGCTGAAGAACTGACCTTCGAACAAAAAACTACTTGTAAAGCAAGGACGAGGACCAACCACAAGCTGGTTAATCGTCTTTGCCGAAAATATCGTGGTTTTAGACTTGTGGCGTTTGAGTAGTGCTTCATGAAAAACTTGACGGTTGCATAATATTTGTTCTTTTTAGGACTTGTCCAGGCAATGCATCTGAGCCGGGCTCTCTGCAAATGCGCATAGAATCGGATTCTTAGCACATTTCCTGGCAAATACGGTTGTGTTAACATTGAACGATTCACCCTTCAGTAACTGCCATTTTTGTTCAGGAGATGGCCTTCTACTCGCCATTTAAGAAACGAGAAGTAGACTGGACCTTGTAACCTTTTGCGAAAACAATTTGGCCTCACACCTTCCGGCTTCCTTCTCGTTTTCTTTTCGACGTCCGCTGTTTGTGGGCCTGCGAGAGCAGCCTGCATAACAAGCGTTTTGTGGTTTCGGAGCAATGACAGTCTGCAAAACAGTCCGTATTTTTGCGTATTCAAGTACTCGCAAGCAGTCAAACAAAAGGTCTTGAATGAGGCCGAAAACAGAGAGCGAGACTGGGGAGAGACGCGGTTTTTTTTTCTCTCGCCTCACATGCCATACGGGCGTGTGAGGCTCGCGAGCTTCGCGCGCGTAAGACTCTTAAGCCACGCTTTACCGATTTCTTTACCGATTTTGAGAAAAAAACCTACTATTCTGCAGTCTAGAGCAATGAAATCCCGCGAGAAAAATGGGGCAATCAAAAGAAGCGAATGGGAAGGCTCAACAAAATAGATTAATGTAATAAAGAGCAAGCTCGTTCCCAACTGCCCTAATCAAACAGCAACAGCATGGCTAAGCAAGAAAGCAAAGCAATTTCTTTCGGCCCTACAAGTCACTGCGATTCACAGTGAAAACTTGTGATCAGGGTGGATTAATGTAATGTTCGTGCAAGCTCGTTCCCAAGTGCCCTAATCAAACAGCAACAGCATGGCAAAGCAAGAAAGCAAAGCAAACCCTTTCCGTTCAACAAGTCACTACGATTCACAGTGAAAACTTGTGATAGTGCTTTTCACGCAAGACTGTCACAGACTAGTTGCGCGAGCTGTTACTTGTCTGTAACAGCTTTTACATGTCTGTCTCAGGGAGGGGGGCGTAAGGGTTTGCGGTATTGCGGTATTGAGTTATTTTTGGTGCGGTGTTGCGGTAATTTTTATTTGAAAGTACGGTATTGCGGTTTTCAGAGTGCAAGCGGTGTGCGGTAAGTTTAAATTTTATGTCGCGGTAGTCGGTGAAAAAATTGTTGTGTCGCGGTGATCTGCTTCTTTTTCATGACAAGAGGATACCAAAGGTCTCCCTGGCTAGCCTGCGTGATCCGCGTGTCTTCCTATAGTTGCACAGTCGGGGATCGTATTGCCCAAACAGTGCAGGCAAATCGTATGGCTTGTAATTCCAGTTAATACTTGATATGATTAACGACATTAACTTTTTCTATCCAATGATACGTAAACATGTCGCATTATTTATGACTTCATGGACCTTGTGGGAATAGTCGGCTTGGTTAACCTCCTTACCAATCTTACCGCCACTTTCGTGCCAGTCGCAAAACAATGGCGAGCGATCCAGATGATCAACTAAGTGATCAGTCAGATATTCCAGCAAATAGTGAGGTCAGTGAGGTCGTTATAAATTGCGTAGTGTCGAAAGATAATCTATGAAGATTGTGTGGTCTAAAAATTACCACTCGTCCTTCTCGTTGTGCATGCAGGAATGTAGAATGTACTAGTATTCGTGTGTCCTTACCCTACGTAGCATATCGGCCTGAGGGGGGGAGGTACTTCCTGATAAGAGGCTAATGAGGATGTGCCGCTGGATGGGGTCGCATTTTCACTACTGGATTGACTATAATGGGGTCGCATTTTCAGAGAGTTACTGGAATGGGGTCGCACATTTTCTGCTTTTTTGGGGTAAGACAGTTCTTCATATTTACGGTTAGCAAAGGTACCAGAATGTTTGTATTGTAGATGAAAAGTAAAGTGTTCTTTATTCAGTCTAAAACATGATCAATTCATAAAAATAGAAAGTCGGACGAAGTTGGGATCGCGAAAATTAAATATTTGTTCAAAAGTGACTAAGATGGGTCTATAATTGGCCATAGAATAGACTATAATGGTTTAGGGGCTCTGAGAGGCCAGCGGCACATACCAAGCAAAAATTAGCCCAAAAATTAGCCCAAGTACCCCCCAAACCCCTCGTCGGTCATGGCGGTTTTACATGGCTTTAATTCTCGGCAGCACGACTGTGAGCGGCGAAGCAGCTCCCGCCCCAATCTCCTCGCCCGCGCCCGCCTTTATTATTTAGCGCGCACAACCAAAATCGCCATGCTACACAGGCTAGTGTGTGCTGTGCGCCCTTCGAATCCAAAAGGCAGCCCGGATCGACGTTTTGAAACCCTCAACACAGAACCGAGTTAATTGTGAATCTGAAACAACCTCATAAGAGTCAACTGTTTTCCGTCAGTTTATGATCCAGGTCCAGTAATATACAAAGTAATACTAGAAAACTCCTGTTGTATCATTTAAGTAAACGTATACATGTAATGAACAAAGTTAAACGAGTGCGATGATCTTATGTTTATAGTACGCTTGACATCGACGCACCTTGATTTGGAAACACTGGCATAAAAGCATTATTTCTATTTCAAAGGAGGATTTGTAGTATTGACAACGTCAACTTTTTCCCATTTGTAACTGCGGTTTCGGTATTTGGCTAAATTTTGATGCGGTATTGCGGTATTCTCGCGCTACCATGTGCGGTATTGCGGTATTCGTACCCCCCCTACGCCCCCCTCCTCAGGCGCCACCCTCTATTTTCACGGCACTATAGGAATCATATATGAAGAACCTATCGTTTTCAAGAGTATTTACCACTGATTAAAATAGTGCAGGCTCATAAATGCGGAAGTAGCAAACAATGAAACATGGCGGTCAACAAGGCGAACTCCAGCACCCCGAGAGAAGCATTGGAGGAAATGATAGAACTGCTCCTGGGAAGTGGAGGAGAATTAGAACTCGGGGATCTAGTACTGCAACTCAGTTCACACAACCGTCGTTTGGTGTCAGATTTCGGAGCGCTGGAATTCGTAAAACGCTTTCCGCAGCTTTTTATTAGTCAGGCTAAGATAGGGAAGTCCAAATCGAAAGTGATGGTTAAGTTAGATATTCCGCTAGAATTTTGTTCTCAAGCTGGAGAGAAGGGCGGATGTGTTACAAAAGAATGCATTGCTCTTCATTTATGTCCTTTCTTTATCAAGGGAACCTGCAAATTCGGATTAAAGTGCAAAAGATCTCACAATTATGGTGACGAACATACAGTTGGTGTTCTAAATCACTTCCGTCTCGGTTTCTTAACTAGGGATCCTTCACATTCCCTTTTACAAAGGATTTTCAAAATGATCGTGGATGAAAGTGAACTACAACGAGCTGCTGCCAAAAAATCTGTTCCAGATATTTGTAAATTCTATAACAAAGCGACCTGTAAAAAAGGGGACAATTGTCCTTGCTTGCACGTGTGTGAACATTTCATTGATGGAGATTGTAAGTTTGGCGAAGGCTGTAAAAGGGAGCATGATTTCTCTGACCCTCACAACAAAAAAGTGCTCAAAGAATATGACTTGGATGGAATCAGTGAGCTAAAAGTGCTTCAGCGCTTGAAAGGCAGGGAAAGGAAGCATACCATCAGTGAAAGCTCTGATGTTGAAAAGCCTGATAAAGTATTTTCCAAAGCAGTAACTCCTGTTGTCGCGGTTCCTACTCCCAAAGCAAAGGATGAAAAGGAAAAGGACACTGAAATTTGTGGATTTAATCTGCGGGGCAAGTGTAACTATGGCAACAACTGTATTCATCGTCACACAGAGCTACCTTATTTGTGGGAATTTTCTGTACATGGCGAAAAGTGGGAAAGCTTTTCAAGTGATCTAAATACAATGCTAGAGCAAACCTACTGTGATGTTAAAAAAGGCAGCTGTACAGTAATAATCAGAGGAATTCTTCATCGTGTTAAATTTGATGGTATGACTGCTGAACCAGTTTTACCAGATGATGGTAAGTATCTTCTCTTTGAAAGTTACAAATAGTGCTATGCCTGAATTCCATGGGAGAATGTACTAGTAACTACCATATATGGGCTATATATATTTTGGTGTGTACCATTGATAAGGGTGTGGGATAGGGTATAGAAATAAAAGGGTTTGAGCCTATAAATACTCTACAGTATCAATTTTCTGGGAAACTGGTCAAAAATGGTGGAAGATTTTTATCAAGGCTGGGAAAACTGGGAATTGGTACTGAAAAATAAAATCAGGAAATTTAAATTTACCCGCGGCTCAGTAAACTTTTGTTGTACCTGGACTGCGCTGTTGACGTTAGTGGTTTCTGGAAAATAGCAACTCTAGGGATACTTTAACCATTTGCATGGAAAAACCAAAACTTCCGGTTGGGAAGCTTCAGAAAACATGGTCTGTGATTTGCGGCAAGGCAATTTTTCTACTCTTTTTAGTCTGTTCAGCTGATTTGGATAGAACTTTGTGGCAGGTTGTTCTCCCACCACGTCAAATTTTACAGTTTTATGTTTATTCACAAGACTTCCACCCGGGTGGTTGGTGTAAATGGTAAGCACCCTAGGATAAAGTACCAGCTAGTAGTGGCAGCAGTGGTAGTAGCAGTAGTAGCAGGAGCAGTAGCAGTAGCTGTAGTAGCAATAGAAGTAGGGAAATGTATAAAGCTACAGAAGTGAAAGCTTAGAAGACCAGACGTGAGTGAAAAGAGGGGTTGACAGAAAAATAGATAGTGAAGATGTATTCTTTGCTCTATCAGCTGTGAATTACAAGTCTCCCAAGGTTCGACGACTGTCCACTGTATCATCTGTGGGTGCTGCAGAAGGCCATGTGTACAGCACCAGGTGGCACTGGTACTGGCAAGATGAAAACAACAAGTGGCAGTCATATGACACTCCAACTGATGGACATGCTGTTAACACCACTAGCAGCCAATGTCTTGAGAGAGAATACATGGCAGGTACGAAATCCCCCTCTCCTTTATTACAGATAGCTCTTTCTAAGACCAGTACTATGCGTCCAGCTTAGAGAGATGTTCATCTTATAAAAAGTGGAATATGAAAGGAGTCAAGAAAGAAAGAGACAATTAAGTTCTAAGGAGTCTGTTTTATTGAAGTGGCCGTCCTTTAGAGGTGTCCTATGTGAGAGAGTTGACCTAAATCAATCTGGTGTAGGAACTTTAGCAGGCCATTGCTGTAAAATATTAATTTTACATGCCATTAAAACTGGCAAAAACAAAAGTAACTTTCTAAAATAACGTTTTCTTATAAAAGTTCCACAATAGTAGTTACAAAAATCATAAGTCATATGTTTCCGTTTTTTCTTCTTTTAATCTCATATTGCATCTTCTTTTATATATTTCTAGGGAATTAGAAACTCACCCAGTAATTTTCAGCTTGGAAATTAAACTCATTCAGTAAGATTATATGTCTGTCTGTCATGGACCAAGGGGTTGGTCCCCCCTCCCCCCTCCAAAAAAATGGATCTACCTTCATCTTTAACTGGAAGCTATAGACAATTTCTTTTTTTTGATCCGTGATCTTTATTTTATTTCTCTTGAAGACATGATGTTATTGACTTCATCTCATTTTTCTCCAGATAATGACTGTCACTCCTTTAGTGCCTCTCATCACCGTTACACTCTGTACTTCAAAGGATGGTACCAACAAAATGATGTTCATAAAACAAAAAGGCCTGTTAGAAGGAGGCCTGCTGACTTTGTGACCAAACAGAATATGAAAGATATTGCTCAGAGGTATGTGAAGCATTAATTTATTTGCTCTTTCCATTTTCCATATTATTGGTCACTTTTAGCCCCCGAGCAAGTCTCTGGAGCACTCTGGTAGTGAGGCAGGAAAAGGAATTAGAGCTTGCAACTTAGGTCTCTTGAATTTGAATGTCTGCATCAAAAATATGCGAAATGGTGATTGGCAGAGATGATATTAGTAATGACGTAATTACCCTTAGCACGTGTTTTTCAACATTTGTTTACATTTGTGCTTGTTTCTGCTTCACGCTGATTGGCGAAAATCTGACAGCTCAGTCAATGGTGAGCCACAGGGAAATTGGAGGCAGAATTCAAATTCCACAGACGTAGCTGCAAGCTGTCCTTCCTTTTCCCACCCCGCCGCCAGATCACTCCGTAGAGTTTGCTCACAGGCTAGGTCACTTTTCCCCTCATGACATAATAGGGTAGTATGAGGGTGATGGTGCTTTGTAACCCATAACCCATAACAGTAAAAAATCAAAGTAAAATATATGAGGAACTCTTGGACACATTGTTTAGAAAATACAGATTTCATGCATACTTTAAATGACAAATTGTAAGTAGAACGGTTGTATAATTCGTTTTCAAGGTTTTGAACGTTTCTTAACTGTTAAAACTACTTATTTAGTAATAAATTATTGTTATATCAGGCGTAGAGCAACTGCTTTGGCCCATCCGAAAACAAGTTCATCATCATCCGAGCCAGATGGTTTGCCATCTCACTGGAGTCCTATTTCGGATAGTGAAGACTTCCAA